ATGTATAAAATACAACTCGAAAACGCAATTATTTGATTTGCTTTCATACTAAATTACCTGTTTAAAATCAAACGGTTAGATATGTTAACCTTTATATTACTGTTGAAGTGTACTTCACTAAAAAAATAAGTTTATCTAAAATAGATACCTGATTTTAATTAGTCTTAAGTTGATTACTAATTTTTATCGTGTAGCTTAAATTTTACATATGCCTTCAAATATTATAACTGAAACGCATACACAAAAAGGTTATATAGGTATCGGAATTTTACCATGCCGTGAGCATTAGATGTAAAAAATTAAATACCCATACTTTAAAACCCTTTAAAAGCACAATTTTTAATAATCCTTTTCAATCAATAATAATAATAGTTAAGGAAGTATAAAAATAAAAACTAAAAAAAACTCGAAAATTTCATAATGCCTCTAAACAGATTAATAATTTCCAGAATGTCATCTAGAAAAGGCTAATATAATTATTTTGTAAAAATGTTAGGTCTTTACTATTTTTAGTCGAATTACAATTAAAGCAACATTATCGGAAAATATATGTCGATGAAGAGGTGGATATTGTTATCGGAAATAATGAATCTGCTTCCAGTTTTTTCTAAGGCATTTCACGGTTTTTCTCAGTTATTAAGAAATGAAATTAACGTGGAAATTAACAACGATCTGCTTTTCAGAGTTACATGAAGAAAACCAATGTACTTTTTTCCATCCCGATCATCATCAGAGTTACTTGTTATCTCCTGGTTTATTATTCATCCTAATCTGCACATTGAGTATCCGACTATGTTTTTCCCTTTTTCTACAAACAATGCATGTAAAGACTGGTAAATATTATTTATAATAGTATATCTACTATTACTGTTTGAATAATAAAGTCACTATCATATTCTGTGAATAGTGAGAAGGTGAGAAAGATAATTATAACTTGATATTTACTCGTATTGTGACTTACAGTTTATTTGGTTTTTTAAATTTTATTCGAAAACTACACGGTATGGATACCTATTTTTCAAATGATGACTTACCTATAATAACGATTTGTTATATTTCTCACATAATACATTGAACAAAAATAGTTATGTACAGTAATTTAATACATACATATAGATATAGGCAATATTGGTACAAAGTATTTTTACCTTCAATTACCAATTTCATTTTCTATCTGCTCTTCTTCAAAAAAAAGCTCACCCTATCACGCCATTTGTATACACTTTAAACCAGGCGTCACCAATTAGTTTACACGGATGTATACATATATATTATTGTGTTCTGAATGTATCATTTGGAATAGTTAAGCTAAACATGAAATTAAACATTTATATTTAGGTAAACATATTTTATTAAAACAAATTGATCAGTATTCATTAATGGGTATATAGAGTAGATACTTATTTAGACATTAGGAATTAGGTAATGAAAATGGAAATTATAAAGTAGGTGATAAAATTATAAATTATAGTACAGTAAAACCTGCGGAATCACGGAATAACGGAATCACTCAGTGCCAAATGAATTTTCCGTTATAAAAGAGTTTTCTTTGTAAGGAGACTAAAAAAATACGGAATACAGGTAATGTAGAACTGTTGTTGTTTTCCGTTTTAAGGAAATTTCCGCCTTTCACGGTGTCCATTATAAGTTGGTTTTACAAGTAATTTACATTTGAACTATGAATACATATATTACCTATTGATAAAATATTAATTTATATATATATTATACATTTTCTAACAAATACCGATATCCATTAGTACAGATATTTTATTTATTTTCATTTTATACATACAACCAAAATAATATACATAAAATGAAAGTTACCAAAATCGGGTAGAATTAATGATGTTAAATTTATTTGTGTTATTAAATGCGTGTACATAAATATACGTGTACTAATACAATACAATATAATTTAAATGATTACTGTCACAAATAATTTTACGTATAACAATGTAAGGATGAGACTTGATTTGTCTAATAGAGGATATTACACAATTGAAAATATGCTTATAATCAAAATAAACTAAAACTAAGCTCTTTAGCTCTTTACCATAGTCTATATACGCCCTATTGTAAAGAATGCCCATAAGACTTGGGCAAAAATGAAAGGCGATTACAACAACTAAAATAACTAATATCTAAGAGGAAAATCTTAAAAAAGGATAAATAAAGCTTGGAGTCATGGAGATGTGAAAGAAAAAAAAAATGAAGGAAACCTTGGAATAATATTAATTGATGACGTGAATGATCAAAAATGATTGAAAAACTTGATGGAAATGACAAAAGACCTTTGAGGCATAAGTCTAAAAAAATTAATAATTTATAATTTTAAATTTTAGAAATAATAAATTAATATCACTAACAATATTTGAGCAAAATAATTATGAAATCTATAGTATACAATATGGTAAATAATACAGTAACCCAAATTTTTAATCCGTGCTTAAAGCACGATATAACCAGGTACCTTATATTAGCTAAGGGTAATTATTCAAAAGACCCTGATGGTTCAGGGCAAGCCCCAGATGAATGGCAACGCATCAAAGCACAGTCACATCTCTCACTTCCTAATTCACCTTACCGTCTGCCCACGGAATAGCCATCAGGTAGATAGCCACTGGCTTATTTAACCACTAACAAAACTCATAAGCCTGTCCAAATCCAACCACAAAGTACCAACCATGGTACGAGACCACAGCTGATACCCGGGCTCTGTTTGGCGCCAAGAATGGGTATTATGGGTTTATGGTAAATAATACAGTAGTTGATTTAATTAACCAATTAATGGCATCCATTGGCCCTCCTAAATTTTGATGAAGCTTTTGATCCTCAAGAACATTGCCAACATTCCACTGGTTAGGTTAAACTAACGACTGTTTACATTTTAATTTCTATCTTAAGTAGAGGGTGGTAAATGTAAACCTAGACGTGTGTCTGCGTCTTTAGACTCAAAATATCAAATCTAAATCACATGTTTAACTGCTAACTGTATTATTATTTCAGTAATAAATTATATATTGTTTTCAAAAAGAGTTATATATTATAAATTTAACCCTAAATAATAATAAACCCTACAAATTACAATATCAAAACAAAATGACTAAAATAAATGACAGGGGATTTTTTTTTTTAGGAACTAAAAATATACAATTTGAAAAATACATATATAAATAAATTTAATATATTAAATAATCATAATACAATTACAATATAATTATATAATTGTTTAACATATTATCAGTAAGTAATGATTGTCAAAATAGATATAATTATTACATGCATCGTAAAAAATAACAAATTGTATTTTCTTTTATAAATGACACATTATTATTATAAATTGACTGATATAAAAATAATTATATAAATTGATTATTAAATAATGATAGAAATAATGCAATTTAATGCATTATCTTTAATTATAGATCACCACAATTTAAAAAAATAAGTAATTCAAAAACTATGTTTACATTTTAGTTTGATAATAAAAATGTTATTTGATTTCTTGCTAATATTGTTAATTATACAAGTTATTTACCCACTTATTTAAATGGCAAAATAGTTTACATCAATATTTTCCAAGAGAAAAATAATCAATGTCTTTTAAAACTAAATATAACTATAATAAAAATTAAATTATTCATACATTTTTAATTAGAAAAAAAAAGTAATACAAAGAAAATATTGACTTAAATATTATATAATACAATATTATAATATTGAGAATAATTAATAAAATCATAAGTCAGATTAAACTAAAACCTTGAGTATTGGAAATTTTAATAATTTAGACTAATGGATAGCTGGCGCTGGATGCAATTCCACAGTTGTTTTTCTTGTTACGTGCCATTAATACATAGCCTTGATCACCCCAGGTTTTGCCCCATGAATTCTTAACAATCCAGTAATCTCCACCCTTACTATCAGTGCCATAACCAACAGCGAGTACACCATGGTCTAGTTGAGAGGAGCTACAGTGGGAATTGAAATACACGCCTTTTTTGTAAAATTGGAATTTCTCCGATGATGCATCAATAGCAACAGACACTGGTCCTACAGTAGCTAAAGCATGCATGAGGGCATCTTCATCTCCTTCGGGAATGTCTACAAAACCTTTGTCAGTAGCACCAGAACTTTCAGGGTCATAACGGCACTTATCATCCTGTAAATATTTATATGAATTAGTTATGTATAATATGTTAAGAAACTCAAAAATGTATTACCTCAGCTTCATAAGGATATGATTTCTCAGTATCTAGTCCCTTATTAGCTTTGATGTACTTAAAAGCCAAATCCATCAGACCACCCTCACAACCATTATTACCATACTTTCGAGAACAATCGATTAAATTTTGCTCACTCAATGATACTAGCACACCAGTCTTCCGGAAATGTTGTCCTTCCAATGATCCGGTCTATAATGATTAATTATAAAATATTAATATAATCAGTATAAGTATAGAAATAAATAAAAAAATTCAATAGTTCAATAATACAGTGGAACTCCAATTATCCAGATTAATAAATGTCAAGGATGATCCAGGTACACAAATATCCATATAATTGAAATGTAACACATTAAAAGTTATACGTATGATATGCATAAATATGTACTAGATCAGTGGTCAGCAACCATTTTGGACTCTTTGGCCATATTCATAAATTAAAAAAAAGTTTGAGGGCCAGACAATACAAATTTTATATTAAATTATAATATTCAATGAAATGTAATCGTTTTAGAATTTAAAGCGAGTCGGCTTCGTCGAGTTAACCAATAATTTGTTTAGGACATAAGTAATGTCATTTATAATTTTAATTAATAGACTTTATTGAACAATTTGAGAATTTTGAATTCAGCAAGAAAAAACAGAAAAAACACGGGTATTGTTAGTATTAGTAGTTTTATAGATTCTAAACTGAAAAAAAAATATTCTGATAAATGTTTTAAAAGAAAAAAATAAGAAAAGAAACACAATTATGAATTAAAATTATAATTAAAAGACTTCTAGTTTTATCTTCCTAGTCCAGATAATTGGACGTCCAGTTGATTAATGTATGGACAATCAGATATCTACTTTAAGAGTACATATAAATCTCATCCAATATACCTAAACCAATAATGTATTAGTTTGTTAGTAAGACTAGACTATTACAGAACATTTCATTTTTTATACAGTATATTATTATTGCAATTAAAAATTGGTAACATATTTTATTTGATATATATAATCAATTATTTAAATTAATTAATACTGTATACTAGTTTTTCTGAATAGCCAAAGGAAAACCAAACTTGGATATTAGAGTTATCTAAATATACAATAACATTGTGATATAGAGTAAATTAGATAATGTATGAATAACACACACTGCACAAATATTGATACAAGTGAGTGTATTTTAACCTCAATAGTTATACCCAACATATATTTTTTAATGCCTTAAATCGATCTACAAAATATAGTTAAAATACACTACTAATCCTATTACTGTTAAAGATTGCAGCAAATTAATTATCATATGAAACAATGCAAGGAGTAATCGCATAATTTTAAACTACAAATTCTTGTAGTCGCAACAAATAAAATTAATTAAGCACAATACAATATATAATCCTATACAAAAAATAAATTGACCTTGTTCATAACACGGCTATCAAGAATATCAATTATGTGGAAATAGGTACCTAGTATTGTGTGTGTAAAATAATGAATTCTTATACTAAAAATATATACATTCAGAAAACAAATAAATGTAAACTATTTTTCTTCAAACTTCTTTTAAGACTTTAATTGATCATGATTATAACGAGAAGAATTAATGTGATATAAACATCATTATTATTATCATATAATAATAATTTGTTTGTTTAATAATAATATAAATAATAAAATTAAATTAAAATTCCACAATAAATCATGTAATGCAATAACAGTGTTATCTATAATTATATATGTGTATTTCAATAGTTCTGTGATAAGAAAAATTACTATTATACTGCGTCGCAGAGTTTATATTTCTCGTTTAGAAAACTATACATGTTAATATATTTATCAACTAAATAAATTATTCAACAATATTACTTTTTATAATTATAAAAATAAAGTATAATGTAACTATTACAGAAAATAAAATAACAAAGTACGCTATTAATTTGTGTTATGTACCAAGGACTCCAAATATGAAATTATATGCTGCTATATTTTGCATATTTGAAATATTTTAGATTGTTAGTTCTATTTTTCAAGTTTTGATATTATATTTTTCTAATATGAATAATATATTATATAATGGCTTATTTTGTATTTTTCATCAATCTCAATTTATATATTGAATGAAAAATAATATAGAAAAAAATGTATTATTCGTGTCAACCCAGAAGAAAAATACACATTTGTGTTTCAAATTACAATCAATTTTTAAGTAGCCCGGCTTATTAGTCCATCAATTGACACCATTTACATTGCATAGCAAATTTTCTGTAGACAATTAATTTAGGCCTAGTCAATAATTTGGTTTAAATTATAATTTTATAAATGCATGATATAAATAGCAAATTTTCACAATTGATTTGGACCTTGTCAAAAATAGTCATAAAATAACAATTGTCCTTTTTCTTCTTACATATATTTATTTATTAGTATTCATTTAAAAGATAATAGGCTCTTCTGAGCAAGATCTACTTGTATACCTACTAATATTCTTTATCAACTAATTAATAAATCAAAATTTTAGGATATCTACAGAACTTACATATTTAAAATCTATTCAAATAATTCAATACTCATGATCAACTTTAAATTAAATAATATTTTAGGGAATCTTGTAGTATTTTTGTAAAATATCTAAACACATATTTACATTAATTTAAATTGGAAATACTTAAAAATACTGGATATACTAAATAATATTTTACAAAAGGTCCAATACTGTGACCTTTATATTTTACTTACTGCACTGAATGACCAACATGACCCACATTGTCCTTGGTTTTTGATAGGGGTTACATATCCTTTCTTTCTCCAATCAACCGATTTTGGAACAACTACATTTTCAGTCTTCAAAAATGACACAGCGTCATCATCGGTGTAATTTTTGATTCCGCCAACTAAACTAGGTTTAAATCCATTTACCATTGCAGCATATTCATGTTGCATCTAGAATATTTTAAAATATTAAACATTCAAACATAATAATAAGTATAGACAGTTATTTTTTTAAATATTGTTTTTATGTACACACCAAATCACCAAAATGATTCATTTCCAATGCATATGTTTCTTCACCACTTTCGTATAATTTATTGTGTCTGGCAATTTTCAACTTATTATCCAAATATACTTTTTTACGGAATGTTTCCTCTTTAACATCTTCATATATTTTCTTAAATTGCATCTATAAGTTAAAACAAATAAAATAAATCGTAACACTTCCTAGAATATAATAAATATATAGTAGTTTGAATACTTTGAATAAACTCCATTCTTCTTCAATGATTTCATTTAGGTTGACCGAGGTCGCGGCACTTATGACAAACGCCACAAGTCCCAAAATAATGGCTATCTTCATGGTACCTACTAAGAATAAAATTAAAAATAATTAAGACGGTTTACGGAATTCGTATTTAAGATTTAAAATCAACTACTTGGATTTAACGCCTACACGGATATTTTTATTAAACAATACTAAAAGTAAGGGCCTAAAATAATTTACAAAAATGGACAATGGTCAATAGGGCGTTGATGTTGCTAAATCATTAGTTACGGTAAAACGGTTATCAAAACTATCACAACATATGGTATATCATTATTGTCTAATTAAAGTTTTCCTTTGTGATCGATTGTCAATAATGTAGGTACGAGATGATCGGAATTATTAACAAACGCGTCAGCAATTTTATCAAAACAAAGGAAACCAAACAAAGATTTGGTCTTCGAAAAACTAATTTCCAGCAAAGTACGAGTGGTACGACGTACACGGTACACTTACGCGTTATTTTCGAAAGGCCGACGGAAATCTTTGTTGTACGATGAAAAAAAAAATGGACGTCAGCAATGGGTAGAATATGACGCGGACACGTCAATTGCGAGTAGAACGTAAATGTCGTTCTTGTGAACGCGAAGAGAATCACGCGAGAAACGGGAACGACGGGCGGCGACTGACGGCCGGATCAACTGCGTAAATTATGTCTACTCGCATTTAAGTACATCGACGGGGGAACGGTGCGAGGGACGCGTAACTGCCAAACAAAGAGCACGGCCGGTCCAAACTACAAAATTCTACGCAGTGGGGACGACCGCCGCGACAACAATGCCCGACCGACGACTGTAATAATGTTGTTGTTATTGTTATTGTTACACACCGAGTACGGACCTCCAATACCGGGTGTTATGCAACATAAAAGCCCCGTGTAATTGTTGGAGAGCCGTGAGCGTCGACGGTAATTCGCGAAACCGACGACATTGTTGCCGGCGAAACGATATGTAAACGGGCCGGCGAGTTCTCGGCCGATACTTACAATCGCGACAGCGGATTTCCGGGCGGACGCAGCGGTCAGGCGAACGGGTCGGTCTGGTGCGTGATACTCGGCAAACGCCCAATCGGTTCGCGGCAGATCTGATTATTCCGAAAAACGAACGGCGATTAATGGTATTTCGTCGGTATTTCGACGTGCGACGTGTGCCGCCCTCGCCGTAAACAGCTGTCGTTTGTTGTTGTTATTGTCGTTTGTTTTTCAATAAGGTCGCGCGGCGCGCGTAATTCGCAGTTGCGCCTACCGCAGATTGATCCGCCTTGAGCCGTGCCACTTACGCCGCAGTGTGACCACGCAGTGTGACGAAACAGCGTTACGCACGGCACGGTTCTCCGGCCGACCCGCGGCGGTATATTGGAGGGTATTGTCGGTGCGGCACGGACCCCGAGACGCCCGCTTTTGGATTTACGTGCGCGTTGTAGAGCACCCGCACGGTGCACCTATAAGAACACGCGTCCATTACGGGTATTGGGGCCGGCTTTTAATAATGCAGTACACATAGGACCGCGGAGGAAAGGAAAACACGAGTAAACGAGATTGGGCATTGATTTGTCGTGGGTATACTCTCTCACAAAAGAGAGCAGAGCTGCACAGGCGAGTTTAAAACGCGGACCTTCGCAGTTAGGTTTACCATTCGTTTCGCTTTGAAAAGGTAACGTCCACCGGCCGTTCATTCCGGTTAATAGAGGCCGAGAGTAGATTTATGAACAGCGTTTGGTCGGATGAATGAAAACACAATACGAGGTCTGATGGATGGTCTGTGAAATTAATTTTCGTTGAACTTGTAACAAATTTTATGGAAACAATTGAGAAAGATGGAACTTCCATAGAAGAAAATTCAATCTAGCGAAAAATATAATAATCCATACACCTAGACAATAATACTAATAACAATTAACGTTTAAAAATAAGTTATAAAATATTACTAACGAATAACAATATAAGTAACTTTGAATTAAATACCGAATATTTATAAAAAAAAAAAGAAAAAAAGAAAAGGTTACTTACACTTATAAGTTATAACTTATGTTTCATTAAAATATTTACATATAAGCGTTTGTTAAATCGAAAAAAAAAATAAGCCATTCGATAACATGTTCCAATTTGGGGATTTTAAAATCTGGCATCTCTATGGATCATTGTGTGTGGATATCCCACTGAATATTTTGCTATCAGATTTCGGCTCATTTCAAGCCGAGTAACAAGTTTATACTTACTGTTTACCCACATCGTGGTTTTATTGACTGGTATATCACTTAAATCACAATTATCATGCGAATATCTATTAGAAACTAAGTGACATCTTATAACTATTACGTAAAAAATTATCAAAATCAAATTTCAAAAGTACGTCAGTAAAAAGTTATTTATGTTGACACATAGGTTCACATCATCGAGACATTGTATTTTTCTACTTAACCCGTGTATTTGTAACAAAAGATTAGTAAACGAAATGTTACTTCGAACGTAGCAAGACAAAATTTTTAGAGCATATTCAACCCCTTTTTAGGTGCGTATAAGTTTATTTACCGATAAAACCTTGTGTAGCCTTGTTTATAGGTAGGAACTAGGAAGTAAGAATATAATATTATGGAACATAATTTTAATTTATGTCCGTAAGCAATGATAAACAATTTCTTACGAAAAAGAATTCTGAGCAAAGTTCGGTTAAACATGTTTTGAAATGCTGCGGTTTTTACGGTGTTCATAAACAAATTTAAATTCAAATACATACTTATAAAAAAAAATGTTTACGTTTCATTTGACTTTTTTTGGCCACTAAGTATGCAATTTATAATGAACCGCGTAAATGCATAACAAATTGTTGAGTATTTTTATTTTGTTCTTAGACAAAAATCATTTTTTTCAAATGAAAACTAAAAAGACACAAACATTTTAAATAAAAATATGGTCAAAAATCGCTAGAATGTTTTGAAAACTTAACACGTCTAGAAAAGTCTAATATATAACTACCTATATAAGTATTCAGTGAAAAGTTCAACTCATTACAAATATTTTATAATTTAAACAGAATTAAAACTAGTGGCGTCAATTCAATTTTTGACAGGGAGACATAGTGTTGACTAGCTCGTAAAACTGGGGGAAAAACGCTCGTAAATTAAAACATATACATTTTTATTTCATTATAATAATTGCTAAAATGCCATCTTACATAATTTTAAATGTATACTTCCTTGAATAATGGGCACGGGTGCAACCACTAAGGTAGGCGATAAGTTGGGAAGGTAGAAAATTTAATGTATTACTGTAAGCAACGGTTAACAATTGCCAATGAAAGAACGATTCAGAGCGGAGTTCGGTAGATAGTGTTGCTTTGTTAACAATATACCTATACGGTATATTTTGGTAAAATAATTTAAATAATTATAATATGTGCATTAAATATTTTCTTGAATAATATTTATTTAACCTATTTTAGATTTTGAGTGGAGCAAAGAAACCTATGGTAGAAAAGTTGTTCACACATAAAAATAAGAAATCATTGTTAAACACTAAAACCAATACATTTCTCGTTACGACCGTAATCAAAATAGGAACGTTGAAACAGTATAAGTTTTATAGTAAACTAATGATGATATAATAATAATAAAACAGAGCCATATTATTTACATTACTTACCTATTTAATGTTGCCAAATATAGATAGGAATACGGGAAGCTCTGCAAAAACCTGTTGGCAACATTGCGTTTCAAAATGTCGATGGTTGCCACGAAAAAAAATTATGTTTAAAAGGGCAAGTGTCCTCGAAAAATGCAACTAGTTTCCTGTATCGTCTTTTAGAGTATTTTATAACGATTTGGACACTATATTATATTCAGTGTTATTTACAAAGATGACCTTGAATCTCTGAAACCGCTCAAACTCAATAAACGAACAATATAGATTCATACTGACCACCCAGATAACAATTGTAGATGTTGAACTTTTATTAAATATTTATTTTAGATTGATTTCTCAATATTCTTATGTAAACATTTATATAGCCTTTAATAAATATTATTTTTGCTTTATACAAAATAGATCAGTTAATCAATGCGATTTGTGAATATTTATTTTATATAAATATAAATAAAATACAATAATTTACCTTAATATTTGTTTAATATCGTACTTATTCCCCGTTTTTTTTTTCCAATTTTTTATGAAAACAGCTGGGGAAAGTCAAAAAATGCCATTAATATGAATTAAAAATATAATTGAAAATCAGAGTAAAATTGCTGGCAGAAAAGTTGTTTACAGGAAAAAAAAAAAAAAAAAAGGCAGCAATATATTTTTACGAATATCTAAAATTCGTTCTTTTTTCCTATTTTATCACTTCAACTTTCTAAATATATTCCCAAATTTTACCCGACAACAAAAATAATTTTTGCGTATCAACGAAAAAATAAATTTATTGATGCTAAAAATCGATTAAAAAAAATGTATTTATGCATAATTGTTCACATATAATAATGTGCTTATCAAGAAATTTCTTATTTTAGTATTTTTCCTCTTCAAATATTATGTCTTGGTATAATAATAAAAAATCACTTTGCTCTAGTGGTGAAAATAGCTGTAGGTAATTTATGTGTCATTTTTTTTTTCAGACTGGTCCACCTTGGATTAGATTAATAAGGTTCATAAAGTATATCTATTGTGGCAGCTTCCTTTTGCGACTCAGTCCTTCTACTGCACGGCAGAGGACATTAGTGGCATATTTAGGGAGGTGTCCTGGGGGTTAAAACCTCTCTCCCAATATTTATTCTACTTCTATTCATTACTCAAGTGTCGCAAAATATTGTCGACGAATGGCGATATATTTCAAAACTGCTTTGGAAATTTCTATAGTGGATTAATAATAATTGGAGATTACCAGACGATAATATTAGGTTTGTGTATTACACAAATACATGGTGAATATACAAAATTAATTAAACTAGCATACGTTGAAAAATAACCAAGATACAACACGCTGGGTGTCGAACGAAAAGCCACCTCGCGGCGATGTGCATTAGAGTACTAGACCCCTTTATTACAAGCATATGTGTAAGTATAGTTCATGTTATTTTATATATAATATTTCTATTCCATTGTGATTTCAGGTAAAACAAATTAAAAATCAAAGATACTACTTAAAATTTAATACTTTTGTATTCTTTATTAAGTATCAATAATTATATATTCATCTTCTTCTTGTGAGAGGGGATCAGAATACAACCACGGTTAGTTCAGTTTTTACCTTATGGGCACGTGGGACGAATAATAAATATTACAACTTTAAATTGTAAACTGCAACATATTAATACGACCGTCTATAAAAAAACTTAGGTAAATGGTAATGTTCAATAAATAATGCTTAATAATTGTATGCAATTAGGTACATTTGGTATTTTACGGCATATGGCGCAATGCATAAAAGATAAGGTTTTAAATTTTTTAAAAAATCTTAATATTCTAATAAAAAATTGTCGTGGGCAGTTACAATGCCTCAAATATGGCAGGAAAGTATTCTGGTCTACATGCAAGAATTAAATAACAGTGTAAATTTCGTCCCATGAGCAGCACATTCATTGAATCTGGTTGATGTCCAGGCGGTTGGGTGCGTTTCAAAAGCAAGAAGCATAATTTCAATTCGTCTAGAAATTGTTCAATTTTTAGTAAAAACAATCGAGATATCAAAAAAATCATTAGGTGCTTAAAAAATTCTGTAAAGCTTATCTGAAACCAGATGGTCTGCACGCTCTGATGCTACTAATGCTTTACACAATGTTTATAATCATACTTTTGAAGTTTTTATTATTAATCGCTAGAAACAATCAATCAGGAGAAACAAGAAACGAGGCACAGTCATTGGTAGCAAAAAAAATGGAAAAACTGAAGACCATTATCCTAACTGAGACACAGAATAACATTCTTGGAGTTATAAATAAAACAAGCTTAAGTTTACAAAATAATACTAAAACAATGGACGTTGCAACAAAACTAAACTATTTGCGTCACTTGGCGAGTATATTATAAAATAGTAAAGCACGCAATAATTTCGATCAGTATGAATCGGTCGCCAAAGAAATAAACCCAAATCCTGACTAAAAAGATAAATCGCAAAGAAAAAAAAATTCGCAGCACACGCAACACTTTTTTGAAAGAACCATCAGAAGTTGTGCAGTTGCATGATAAATTAAAAATTATACGTAAAAACGTTCCTTTTTTCAATAATCGACACTTTAAATACAGATTTAAAGCAACGATAGGAATCGTACAAAGAAATTTAACTTTAATTTAGTTTTATTACTCAGTTACAGTCAATCGAACCTGATCATTTAAAAAAAAAAAAAAAAAAATTGGTAGATTTCTATCATGAAGACATAAATACTATAGAGTTAAATTTAGAATGTTTTCATCTGAGGGAATACCTAAAAACCCTCACACATAAATCCGTTGGCTTAAGAATCTCAGCTTTACATTGTTTAATAAAAGCAGACAAATTAGCAGAAACTTTCCCAAACGTAGAAGTTGTCACAAGGATTTTCTTTTGTTTTGTGGTCACCAATTGCAGTGGGGAGAGCTCATTTTCACAACTGAAAAGAATTAAAAAACGAATTACGAACGACTATGTTGCAAGAACATTATTGACCAATATGTTAATAATGTGCACTTGACGATAAACGTAAACTATAAGTTTCATTGTTTAAAGTTGTAACAATAATAAACCATTTCTAATTCTGTAAAATATGTACATAACGATTAACAAATATATTAATTTTACTAAATAAAGCTTTTGATGTTTTTATTAGACTTTTTTAGGGGTTTACTAAAAGGGCCCCAACAAAGCCTAAGACGGCCCTGCCCACGGTACCTTTACCTGTTGTAAAAAGCGATAAATAGGGTTGTATCAAGTCGAAAACCAGTGTAAAATTATGTACCATAATTTTAAGCATTTGCATATTTTGTTTTTTTACAATCTTAGATATTTTGTGAGCTATAAATTTGTTTCGAGAAATCATAAAGCTATACACAAGTTTTTTGAGCAATATTATAATGGAAATATATATAGAAGTATATTTATAAAGCCCCTTAAATAAGTTTGTAGGAAGGAGAATTCATTAACTAGGTAACTAACCTCAAGTTGGTTATTTATCAAACGTATCTAGGAACAAAAATAAAATAAAATCATTTTGATTACCCTGCTTTGCAAACTTAACTATTTCATTTAAATTTAATATTATTTATTTTTACGAATTCATAATTGTTCATTAAAATGGTAAATATCTGCTGCATTGTTGATTGGGAAAATCACAAGTCAAGTAATAACAAGAAATTTTCTGTGTTTAAATTTCCAAAATGGAATTACCGTAATAATAAAAATTGTTTCAAAAATTAATGGTAAAATAACAAAACCTTCCAAAACTATATAATAATGAGAATGAAACAGTTTATATTAACACATAACAGAGAGCTTAAACAAAATAGTTAAAAAAAAAAGTTATCCAAGTTTCAAAAAACATATAATTATTTAAACATTATTAATAAAGATGTACAGTATTACAGTATATCATTTTAATTTTTGGTCTGTTCTAGGTACCTGGTGGCTGGTTAAAACTATAAAGTTTAGTTAAATTACAAGTATTAACCACTATAACTAACTTATTGTAACTTATGTATTCGTAATTAGAAATTTGAATATTAAATCAATGAAAAATTACTATTTATTAAAGCATTGGGAATTGGTGATAATGTGATCTAGTTCCGTAAGTATCCACAAAGACTGCGCCAATAATGCTAAAAGGGAAATACCCCCTTGTTCTATAACATTTCGTGGTCAACCTCCCCGCACCCTCCAACCACGTCGTGTCCAGTCCTGTATATCTCAGACCGTGACTGGAATTCTCCGCGTGATGTACACATATTATCACGAACTATATTATATTTCGTAATATAATAATACAATTGCATGGTTAAATTGTTTCACGAATTATCAGTCGACAGAATATCACAAGTTACATATCAACAAAAAACGTATTGAAAGAAGCTAGTGTGTTAGATTATAAACTCGATGATAAACGAAATTTATCTACCCAAAAGTGTCCAACAATTTCTTAACAACACCACTGTATCTAACATAGGTGTTATCTTGCATATAAATAGAGATATAATTGGATGGAGTCCAAGATCACTTTTTATTCATGTTATCAGACTCCTTTTTGCTTACCTTCTTATTATATTATTTAAAAAAAAAAAATCCATTAATTCCCCTTTATTCTTAAACTAGAGTCTATTCATAAATCTGGCCATCTCAAATTATCGACTTACAACCGTTCTTTCTCATTTGTCAAAAATGTTTAAATCATTAGTACATAACTCCATACGTCCTTCTCTAAATCACATTATCATTGATAATCAACCATCAACATGAATTCCGTCCCGGTCGCTCTACAATTACATGCAACCTTGTCCTCACTTCCTTTGTATTCGAATCCTTTAATGCCCGGAGCCAGGTAGACTTCATCTATACACATTTTTCCAAGGCGTTTGATCGCGTTAACCACTCGCTACTTGTCAAATCTGTGGACCTGCTCGGTATCGGTTAACAGAACCATCTCTTCCCACTCAAAATCCTTTTCTGCACTCTTGTTCGTCCTATCCTAGAATACGCAATTATGCATTTCTCACCTTATGCGCACTTCCAATTCATTCCTCTCATTCAATCTGTAACCTGTCTACTTATTATCTACTTGTATTGTTATGGGCTTGTCATGTATATTGAATAAATAAATTATTATTCCTAACAGTTTTTAAATCTCCCACTCTGTTTATATAAAAATATATTTTTGTTTTGTGCAAAATATCAATTTAAATAATTGTAAAATAATTTTGGACAGTGCAGTTTTTAAAAGAACAACTAATTTTACAACAATTAATGAAGTCAAGATAAATTTTATTCAAGGATACATTATAAACATGCGACAAATAAATTAATTTATTAACTATTACAGTATTAACGTAGAGCGACTATATTTTGTTAAATTAAATGATATAAAATTAAGCCAATTGTCTGACTTTTGATAAAGATATATTTCATAATAATTGTAAATTTACTGGTTAAAAGCTGTATATGTATATAATAAATAACATACAAGATATCATAAATATTATGAACTAATCGAACATAAGTAAATTATTTACTGTTAGGATTATACAATAAAATTAAATTTTATTACATCAAAGGCGTTTTTTTATTTTTTAAAAGAATATTATTATATAATTGTGGGAATCTGATACAATCCATAATTGATGAAATAAATGTAAGTAGGACTAAAGTAAAAGCAAGTTTTATACGATTTCTACTATCTATCGCATGTTACAAACTATTTAGCATATTGTTGGAGATATCAGGCATTAGTTATAAAATATTATATGGTATTAATCATTTTTAAAATTCCACATAAGTTAAGGTGTATTCCACATAAGGTAACATATTTGGCTTATCGGTATTTTCAAATAAGTGCATTTTTTTTTGCCATGCGACAGATAGATAGAAATTTTCACAAATATTATATGGTTAAATAACTAAAAAAAAAAATGCAATTTAAAAGATTTATTAACTATTTTATCATCGTAACCCTCATCAGCTATTTTAAAACAAGGCCCATAGGATACTAGGACAATATTCAGTCAGTCACTTTTTAATATTTTTGGAGAAATATCCAAAAATATAATACTTAAAACTAATTTCATCTTTACAGACATCCTTCATAAATTTAAGTATTTAAATTTCTAACTATCTAACTAATGTTAAAATTAAGACTTAATATAAGAATATAAACTATATTATATACACTTACAACAAAATTAAGACGTTAAAATCGTTCATGAATTTTGTTTTCTAATGTTTGCTTTAGTCTTATGAAGTTCTACTACACGCGAATAGATACAATATAGTATCTAAATTTATGTACACTTACAACAAAATTAAGACGTTAAAACCGTTCATGAATCTTGTTTTCTAATGTTGTGATTTAGCCTTCCTTAACTTCTATCTAGTACATCAAGCATGTACAATATATTATCTATATCTATATACACTTACAACAAAATTAAGATGTTAAAACCATTCATGAATTTTGTTTTCTAATTAAAAGGCATATTCTTCATTCTAATTTCTTAACAGTACATCAAACATGTACAATATAAATCTATACTTACGACAAATGAGAACAATTTGTGATTTACTTCATACTCTAGGTAATTTTACCTAGACAGTATTAATTATAGTTAGACACACCTTAATAATAAATCAGTCTTGCTAAGTAATAACAAATTCTCTTTTTTAAATTTTTATTATTATTATTACTATTAGAAATAAAATTTGTTTTTATTATTGATATAATTGTAAATCATGATAAGCCATTGATAGTATTGGAATTAAATGAACGTCAGCTGTAAATATGTTGAACTTAACAGCAATCATTCATCTACAACCTTACTAGTGTAAATTGGTTATTCTCGACAAATGGAGGAGTACTGTGGGGGTGGTGAACTTATTCTGGGCATAAGGATGTTTCATTTTTTTTTTTTTTTTTTTTATTATTATTATTGTTTTACTAGTCAGTAGTCCTCTACTTTTTTCCCCCACACCTTTAACAAGGGATTTACATAGAGGGACATAAATATCAATCAATTTCTGACTATAATAGTTTAATTAATCAAATGTAACCCATATTTGATATAATATGTTTCATGTGTATACCCAGCTGCCTGACCAATGGTGTTAATCTCTTGAACTAAATTAGATTTTTACTTGATGTGTATATTATAAATATATATATATATGTATATAAAAAAAGTATTTGTTATTACTACTTTTAGATAATATTTGAATACTTTCGAGAAAAAGTAATTAAACATTTTCTAAAAGTATTCTTAACAAGACTGTCACTTAAATAAATATTTTATTTACACTTACAATGAAATCAACTGCTGGTTAAGCATAGACTGAATCATTTTCTAATCCTTCATCTTAGAGCACAGCAATTAGTCAACTTAATGACTTAATGAATTAATATTAACTTAATATGTATTTACACTTACAACATGTCAAAATGTCTTCAATAACAATGTTGAACATGTTATCTAATTCCACCGGTCATTGGCCCTAATTTTAGTTTTCACTTAAAACTAAAAAAAATACAAATAATACTAATAATACAATTTAAAATATGAAGAAAACATCAAATGTTATATTTGTTAAGTTAATGACAAATTTTAACATTTTATTATAGAATAATATGACTTGTTACATGTCTATGGAAATATGAAAATAAATGAATAAAATTAGAAAAATTATATAATTCAAATGTAAACTGCGATAATAATATTTAACATCTAATTAGAAACTTTTATTATACAATTTTATAAAATATTACATATCATACATTCTAAACAGTAAATAGTAACGACTAGGGCCAAGATTTATATATAATACTAAGCATGAAATTAAATACATAGTAAGAAACAATGTACTTTTTAATTGAAATGTTCTCAATCATGGGAAATACTTAAATTAACACGGTAAACCTCGTGTTTTTGAATTTATCCACGATAATAGAATAATGAATCTAAAAACCTTGTTTAAGCGTAGTGGTCAGTTATAATTTTTTTCAATAATATCTTAAAATGGTTTATTATTATACTAACAACCAATTGGTAGATTTTTCCATGCAATATCAAAAGAATGTTTTTGACAAAAATGAGATTAATTTTATAAGCCAATTTTGATTAATACTTTGTATTAGAAGTTGTTAATTTTTTATATGAATTTTAAAATTACACCTATGAAATATTAATTTACCAATAATAATACACTTGTTACTTGGGCAATTTTAAAATAAGAATTAAACAGTTAAAAAACATCAAGTGAAGTGGGCCACCATAAAATGCAGAACTATAGAAGCAATTACTAGTCACCATAATTTAAAATTAAATCAATTTCCTCTAAAAAAAATCACAAAATTTATTGTTTGACTTTAAAACTGAACTAATGGTCTTATTATCATGGTCAAAATGTTTAGTAACTGAGAAATCTAAGTTATGTGAAGATCATTAATTAAGAGCATAAGGATTTCCAATATATAGAAAAGATTGGAGATAGACAAGTTTCCTTGACAAGCTGTGATGCACAAAAAAAAAAATTATTTTACTATCTTAAAAATATACTAAAAATTATCCACTTCACCTAGTTCAAAAAGTTCTGTACTAACCATAAATAGAACTTAGCTTATCATTATTTTATAATAAAATATTACTCTAGCTTATTAATATATTTAATAAATAGTTTTATATACACTTACAGCAACTTCATGTTAACTTTAAGTTAATACTGTGAAGTTGACTCTAATTCAAACATTTCCTTCAACAATCGTGTAACTAATTAACCTAAGTACTTATAATTACCTTAAAATATACACTTAAAAATTATTAATTTAATAAAGGCCGCAATGTGATTTTTTTAAAAAAATTTTATCAGTCAAAAATGATTTTTGGAAACAATTTTTTTTTCTTCTAATTTTCACTTGACAGTAAATATCAATTACCAAATTAAAATACCAGTATAGTTTATCAGTTAATCTGAATAACTGCAATGACTTAACAAGTAAATTACTTAAATTTAATTAGAAATAATACTTAAGGATAATTTTTTTAAAATTAAGGATTGTCTAGTCTATTCCTTAATTTTATTAACTGATGAGGGCTACATTGATTTTGTTTTAATTTTAGCTAAAATAAAATATCACAGTTTCCTTTGAAAATAAAATAATAATAAAAGATATAATATATTGAATATAAATGAGTGAAACTTAAGCTATTTGTAGTGAACTGTAATATGTTAAGATTGTTTTGAAATATTATGAGTTATTCTTTTGTTTGTAGAGTATATAATATGAATTAAGATTAGTTTATAATTGATCGTGAAATAATTAAATATGATTTTTAAACCTGGAAAGAATTGAAACACTACAAATGGTATTCATTAAGAGTTGATCACTAGAAACAAGCGTACAAAAGTATATCGCATAACATTTCAGTATTTATATAAATACAATTTATGGTTGATTTATTAATATTAAACTTATTTTTAATGACAACCATGAATTCTGCATCTAATTTGTAAGATTTATGTTGACAGAATGAAAGAACACCATTTGTTTGTTTAGTTGACTTACCAACATGGCCATCAGATACATAATATGAACTCTTCATGTTAATTTAACACAATTTACAGCTTCCAGCAAACAGTTTAAACAAATTAAATATGAAAAGTATAATATCTTGAAATGAATTATGGACTGTAATTATCTGAAATAGTGGGACATTGTATAAACATTATATAATATTTAAATAAAGAATATTACATACTTTTTTTTTAATTGCATTTTTTGATAACTAATAAAACACACAAATGGCAAACGAGCTGGAAGATATCACATTACCTATAAAGCAAAATAATTTGATTAAGTACTTGTAATAAACCTATTTATCAATAATACTATCTTTATATAAACTTTAAAATAAAAATTATATATATGTTTATATTTGCTGTATAGAATCATGATTATAATAAAACACAAACAAAATTTTTTAAACGTTGCTGGCTTTGCTTACTGACTTGAGTGATGTCATGCAGTCCACTCTAACCCTCACTTATGGGAAGGGAAGATAAGCTGGTAATTACCTATCCTATAATTACCAATTAGATAGTGCTGCAAGGAGGATAGTATCTTAAGTGTAAGCCTGAACCTTGCTAAGACCACGTTTTTGACCACTTAAATGTCATGTATTCATGTTAAACTTTTAATAAAAAATAAACCTCCAAATGGTTTACACTAAACTAAATATTGGTAGGTGACAGAGGGAAAAATGAAAAAAAAAATGTACACAAATTTTGGGATTGAGTATCTGGTTAGGATTGTGTCACATTACTTTTAGGACCCCCTAAGATTATATATTGACTTATATGGAAAGGTATCTAATTAAACACCTATATGTTTATCTAGAAAACATTATAATATTTTACATATAAACTAGAGAAATAAATTATTTTATTTTATAGGTATTTTTTCATTCTTATTAACCAAAGTTTACTCTATTATTGTTATAATATATTATTAACATTTCTTGTGTAACTATACTTAATTCTAAATTGTTTTTATTCACTACTGGGTATGCTCTTATACTGAATAGTTATTAGTTATTGGCCTGACTCTAGTTAATTCAATAAGAAAAAACTAAATAATGACCAACAATTTAATTTTTCATGCATCGTAAACCATTCAATTTAAAATACAAAAAGAACTGTTTTTAAAATATATCTTGATCATATAATATAATATGATAAAGTCAAATATTTCAAGGAGATTGGAAACTGTTTTTCAAATTTCCAAAAATTATTTTTAGATATTAATGTTACCATTAAGGCTTTTCAATGTTTCTCTTTTTAAGGGAAAGGGGTATAGAACTGTTTTAGATAAATAAAGCGGTGGATAATTAAGACATACATATATCTTGAATTAAATTGTCTGTTATAATTTCCTTTTTTTGATTTAAAATTTAATGTCCAAAATAAACACAGATAAATTGTAGTTATTCAAAAATAATACATCAATTTCAGAGATCTTAAAAAATAAAATCACGATATTGGGAAGTATGTCTCATTTTCCTCCGGTTATTGTCTAAACTCATGAACAACTGATATTCCAAACACATTAAGAAATTGTATTCTGTTTGTATAAATTCAAACACTATATTTTAGTGTTAAATCAAAGTAACAGACATTGATGTTCCATTTTAGCTTTTATATTGATATTGTTTTATTTCAATATTTAATTAACTACACCAAATGGAATATTTACAATACAAAAATAAACTTGGTTAATACTAAATAAATAATTAATATAAAATAAAAAGGAGTTTAATTTATTTATTATAGAAGGGCATAGTATTTTCCAGTTTCATAAGTATTTACATATAATGCAAATTAATAAATTTATAACCATTATCATGATTCATGGCATAACCATGAAATGTACCCAAAATATTACAGTAGCTAATCGTTATTCATACACATCAGACTAGTAATTTGGATGATATTTTTCCACTCACTAAACGTCCTCACTTACATAACACAAGTAGGAAGCTGGGGAGTGGATAAATTATATTATAAAACATATTTAACCTATATTATTTATTTAATTACCAAAATATTTCTATTATAAAAAAATAGGTTCACTCATTATTAAAATAAATATCTAATACATCAATTAATAACTTATAATGTATTATATCAGCAAAATAATTTGGCAATAACATTTAAAAGAAAATAGAGGTAAATATGAAGCTGAGTAGTAGAATGAAAATAAGACTATTTAAAAAATATTATCATTTTCTAGTGTACCTATACATTATAAATAAATATATTTTTTTTAACTATTACATCATGGCAATATAATTTAAATATTATTCGGTTAAATTTTAATATTAAGAAATTCATATAATAAAAAAAAAAAATCAAGTTATTTTGTAAATCCATGATTTCATATTTTTTAATTTTTGCAAACTATGTTTTCTACCAGAAATATTGCTTCAATAGAAATTGACTTTTTTTTTTGTTGCATTTTAATCTAGTAAGTGAGTAAAAGTGTTTTTGTTTAATAATTGAGCAAAATTAAAAAAAAAAAAATGCAAAACCGAAATTCATGAAAATAAGGATTATTTTTAATTATGTTATTTAATTAAAAATATTCAAAACTTGAAATTTTGATAAAAAAACTTACGTTTACTCTTATTAAACATGTAAAATTTTGACATTTTAATTTTGCATGTCTTTTATGCAATTTTTATTTGATAGATAGGTACTTTGTGAATAAATTATTAAACCAAACATAAATGCTTGAAAAATGAACAGGAGGTTCATTATAATAAGTTATAAGTCAAACTTGGTGGTAAAAAAAAAACAAATTGTTTGTAATGTAGTTTTCGTTTTTCATAAGTTTTAAATTAAATTTTGATGAAAATCATAAATATATTACATGGCCTTTCAAAAAATGTTCAATCAAACTTTACACAGAATCATTTTTTCACTAGCAATAGTCTACCCTTTACTTATATATTTAATTTATTAAGTAACCTACATTTCTAACTTCCCCCCAACAGTGGTATACCTGTCTCTAATATCAGCTCTTTTCTTTTGATAATCAGCAAAAAAATAAAAATATTAAAACAGTTTACAAACACTTCATATGGATAGCACAGATAAATAATAGAATGGTTGGTTAATTTAACATCCATCAAACTAACACTCTAAAAAGTGAATATCTTGTATAAGAGAAAATATCTTGATAATTTGGCACAAACTAAAGAACCAGTAGTTTTTAACCCTCTAGAAAATAATCTTTTTTTTTAAATTAATGAAAGGAATTATCTACTATAGATATATAAAATGAATCAAACATAAATTAAATCTTAAATAGTATATAGATAATTAATAAATTAAATAAATTGAAAATGCATTAAGCCACACCTAAAATATAAAACACAAATAATAGATAAACATGAATGTATCATAGGAAGGTCTTTAAAAATTAGACATCAGACATTACAGCAGTTTTCTACAGTGAATCTTTTAACAGATTAACTCAGAAGAGGGAGCCTGTTTAGATCATCATGTAAGAAGATAAATAGTTTTCTCAAATTTAGAACTTTAACTAGAAAAATATAAAATAATGTTTACTTATTTCTGGTTAATCATTTTGATTCAATAATATTATGATGTGGTTATGTAACAAACATATCAAATACCAGAAAAAAATCACACCTGAACACCATAGTAAAATGCAGACTAGTGGTTTTTTCCAGATCCTTTCATAATTTAAAAAATTTAAAACTTGCCAAAACCTTGGTCATAAAAAAAAAAAATAACTTAACTCAGAAATTGGTAAATTCTGCATTTTTAATTTTTGGGTTCTCTCAGATGAGGGAGCCTGGACATTTCATCACAGTTAATAAATCGTAAATCATAAAAATTAAAACCAAATTGTTTCATACAAATTACAATCAATTTTCATAATTAATATATTACTACAGCATCAATGCTATTTTGATTATAAAAAGTTTACTCAGAATAAAAGGTAAATTGTCTGCACTATTAATTTTTGGGTTCTCTCAGATGAGGGAGCCTGAAATTTTCATCATAGTAAACTTAACATTTTTTAACTTTCAAAATAAATATACATTGTATGTATTGTATATATTATCTACTTTATATTGTATTAAATAAATAAGATATTTAAAAATATTTATTTATTACCAGAAATAAGAAAAAAAACTAAATTTAACATACTTTGTATTGGTTAGATCAAACACCTAATAATAACCTATACCACATTAAGTTACCACATAGTGAAAATAGCACATTTATTACTTGAATGTAAATATATCTTCAAAGAATTTAACATAAAACATTTATTTTATTATACTTACTTAAAGCTGATATATTTTGAATTGAAAAAAAGCATATTTTACATTTTATATCCTTTGAATATCTAATTAGTTGACATTTTAATTTCATGCAATAGGAACTGAAAAAGACAGAATAAAAAATAAATATATTAGACCAATGTAAACTCAGGATACCTATAACCATAGTGACCTATGACCAAGTGTATTGTTTTCATTGAATTTGTTTGCCACATTTATAATGCTTTTAAGGATCCTTTTTCCGTTTCATGATCATTTACCGACTATGGGTACAATAATTCCAATAGACTAGTTGAATTTAATATTTACTAAATCCTTCAATGGATTGGCTAGTATAACCAGAATTGGAACAAGTCTACTATATCAAAAAGCTACTTAAAAGTGAATATTTTAAACCTAATCAATAAAAGTTAACACCAATACTTGTATTGTACAATAAATACTTGAATAATAAATTCAATGATTGTTTCTAAAATTGCAGTAATATCTTGTTAGATTATACAAAATAATAGTTACGATAATTCAGAATTTAATTTATCACTCACTAAACGTCCTCAACTAGTAAACAACTTAGAGGGAAGCTGGGGAGTGAACATTTAAAACCCAATCAATAAAATTTAACACCAATAGTGCTACTTGTATAATAAATTTAACGATTCTTTCTAAAATCGCATTACTATCTTGTTAGATTATACAAAATAATAGTTATGATAACTCAGAATTTAATGTATCACCCAATAAACGTTCTAAACTAGTGAACAAATTGGATGGTAACTGGGGAGTGAAAATTTTACTAATAAATAGTAGTTGTATTAATAGTATGTTATTAGTAAACTGCAGAATAATTGAAAATATGGTTTATAAGAAATTAGACAATAAAATCAAATGAAAAATCAAGCAATCGGCAAAATTTGTTTTGATTAAGAAATGTTTAATAACTTGACATAGATACAACATGATACTAACATTAAAAATTTCGTTTTTAAACGCGTTGCTTCGCCGTGCTCACTTGGACAATTTTTATCAAAAATAACTCGATTAGTTGTGCTAAACTACGTCGGGTAGGTAATAGGGAAAAGTGAAAAAGCATTCCGGGTATAACCAAAGACGAGGTCACTAGGGTAGGAACGTTTGTAATTTTAAATCTAAGCAAGATAAACTTATTCAGACTTCAATAAAAAAAACTTAGTTATAAAAATATCAATAACTACAAATCATAATAATAATAATAATAAAAAAATTTCTATTTTTCGACCACATTTTGGATCAATTCCAAAAATGCTATTTATCAAGGTTTAGGTACAATAACTATACAAGTAGGTATGATAGGCAAGTTTTGATTATACCAATGGATTCATTAAAATTACACACTTTGAAAAAAAAAAAATAATTTGATAATGTCTAATTCTCACTAAGAATATGTGAAACGAAAAACCAGAGTCTCATGAAGTTTTCCCTCTTAAGTTCCAAACGAAGATGATCAAACATTTTTTTAGAATCTTAATGTACAGCTAAAAACTCAGATTTTGAAAAAAAAAAATTTGAAAAATGAGGTTGGATCATAAACGAGATGTATACCCCTGAATTTTCTTTGGTTTCCATACATATATTGGCAACCACGCGTCAATGGATAATTGACACGATATTGGTTCAGTGAGCATTGTTGATATTGTCAAGTTTATCAACGGATAGCGTGGAACGAGAATTTCGGAATTCACGAACGACAGTTGAACACGCTGATCCACATTTACACGGAATGAGAACTGCTCGTGCGTAATACATTCGGAAACTGCGTTGTTGGTTTCAGAACAGTCGGAATGCACACGCGGTATTATAGCCAAACGTAGAAAAGAAATGATATACTTACTAAAGAGGCGGTGGTCGTTGCATGTCAATATTACGATGTGCAACAGAACTCGACGTTGAACCACAACCAGTCAGGCGGAGTGCAAGAACAGAAAAATATGAAACAAAGACTCGAACTGGCAACCGGGCGATGGTCGACATGACCAACGCCCGGCTACCCATGTCGTTTCGTTAGAACTATAAAACAAGGATTGTAACTCGTAATTGTTAACCAAAGTGTGAGCCGTACAGAAGAACCGACGCCCGACGGGTCGACGCTCGATGAGCTAGTCCAAGGAGGTCCTACACTTACAGTAGTACCAATAGAAAGTTTATAAACTAGCAACCAGTGCCAGAAACATGTAGACGCGACGTCACTCAATAATTCCACGTAAAGAAAATGTTGATTTAGTTTTTATTATGTTCCGAGTAGGGATGGGCATGAAATCTGAATATGACTATCCGGATTTGAATCAAATTATTTTATTGATTTTTATAATTATCTGGATATGCCCATCACTAGTTTCGACTAATGTTATGCGAATGCAAAATTTTTAAAATAAAGCCATTAACTATTAACATGGGCAGAATGGGGCATTTGCCTCCCTGGATCTTAAAATTTCAAATATAATTGTATTTTAAGTACCTTTTTTTTGGTATTGGATTTTATTATGTGACAGCCACTCCCCTAAAAATAATCAATACAATTTGATTGGTCTTAGTAAAAGAGTAGACAGCAAAAAAAAATTTCAATAATTAATTTTAGTAATACATCCTGATAAATTTCCAATAGATGCCCATGACTATTAATAATCATTATTAAAAAATATAAAGCATAAGTTGTGTTATAATTAATTATTCATTAACAATTACTGTTATGATATACCACTTGACACATCTATACTGAAATAAATTAAAACTATTTTTCTTCTGGATTTGATTAATTTGATCCATATTTAAAAAATACCTAGTTTTCACATATCAATTTTACGGTATTGAAATATTATCAACATCGTTGTGCGTGTCATTCCGGCGACACTTTTTTTACGTTTTCATTTTAATTTTGATATATTACTTATCTATATTAAAAATCACTAATAAATTACTTAAGAAATAATAATTTAAACTAGACAAGCAAAAAATAATATTTGAAAAAAATTCTTTAATTGTCATGAAAATCATGTAGGTATTCATGTCGAGGATAAAATTATAACTTTTAACTTTTCCAACTTCTTTTTTTAAATTGAATACCTACTATAAACATTTAACATATTTAAATTGCCATTTTATGTTGGCAATCAAATATTCAATTTTTTTTTTATCAAAAGTTTTCATAAATATTTTATTAATATAGGTATAATATACTGTATTTAATACCTGGTAAAAATGTTTAGTATATTATTATTTTCAAAAACATGTTGTTAAATACTGGTGTGAATTAATATGAAACTAATAGCCATTGTGTTTTGAACTGGGCATTTTTATATTTAACTTTAATAATAATAAACTTTAAAAAATAAAACTACAACATCTAAGTATAATTTTCTTTATTGTTTTTATAAACATTAAGTCTAAATATTTAAAAATTAAATTATATTCAATGATAGGTTCAAAAAAAGAAGATTCCTTGAATCAAAAATTTATGAAAACCATTGAAAATGGAATGAAATCAATTTTAATTGTAATATTTATTCTTAATATCATTAATATATTTCAACTATAGTTCTAAAATAATAATAATGTTACTACATTCATTATTTGAATGTGTTATGTTTATTCTTCAACTGCCGTTGCAGCGGTATTTAAAATAACTTCAAAAGAAAATGGTGTGAATGCATAACCAAGACCTTTATAGAATTTGCTCTGGAACTCCACCCTAAAAATAAAAAAAAAAAAATTGAATACAAACATTTGAAAATCCTAATATATTTAATATTTTAATAAAAATATACAAAATATAAATATAATACTGTAAGTAGGTATTCAAATAAGATTTTACCAATGTAAACGAAGTGTGTGTAAAAATGCGGAAAGACCTTCCATAAGTACAAGAATGCCAACTGTCAGTATTGCCCAGAAACCAAACACAAACCACAACCAAACACCACCAATCCACGAATCTAATATAAGACCTTTGGACATGACCATACTCCATAATACTTCAGATAACTCTAAAAAAAAATTTGACAAATAATTAATTTATAGACAACATTCTGAAATATTAAAATATGTTTATTAGTTTTATAAAATAGTTCCACTCCAGGATAAAGCTAAGATATTACCAATCTTTGGTTTTTAGCCATAGTATAATATAATCACTAGAAAACGGATTTATATGTAAATACATATTTTATTAGAACAGTATATTTAAGACTTGATAAGAAATGTTCACAATTTAAATCATTCTTATTAAAATGACGCCAACTTTGTTTACATATTTCATAATGTTGTAGTGAACGAAAACAACCATTTATCGGTATACTGTCGATTTATATTTTTAGTCGTTATCTTACACAAAAAATATGTCCTTAAATGATAGTATGCAAATTGTCAAATCAGTGATAAAAAAATTATAACTAAATTAAAAAATTGTTTTCCCCCATATTTTAATGTTCTCGGCATAATATATTTTATAAATTTTTTTAAACTTCCATATTTATGTACATATTTTTGTTTTTTTATTACATAAAAATTCATTCCCTAATAATCACCATCAAAAGCATAGCTTATCAGAAATTATAAACAATTTTAAAACTTTATTATATGAAAATTTCTTTTTAGCATAACCAGAATAACATTGATAACATATATTATTATTATTATTATTATACTTGTTAAACAAAGAAATGTTAATTAAAATTAGCTCTTAATTATAATAAAAAAAACACATTTAACAACTTACGTGCATGGGCTAAAGAAAGAGCCCATAAACGAAGGTATGATGCTGTGTGGCTCACAGATCCCAGCACATATTCAATTGTATGAATGCCTTGATGAATAAAAAGTTCACCAATTTCATTTTCGTCATGTCCACCGGCGTGTGGCTGTGGCGGCTGAACAACACGACCAGCACCTTCTGCATCACCATTTTCAGTTGTTGCATGACCATTAACTAACTGTATACATTTATAATAATGAGCGTTTTAAAAATTGCAATTAAATATTCTGTTAAATATTAAATTTGCATGAAGTTTACCTGGACATGTTTATCTTTTTGTTGACGCATTATGTAAATGGGTTTAGCGAGTAACATAATTGGTACACACAAAAGAGCAATGAATACTAGAAACTTTTGTAAGACACGCTAAAAGAAATAATAATAATTTTTAGAACTGAAATGTTCAATAAAAATTATAGATTTAATTTCAAAAATAGTTACTTGTCCTGCAAACATATAAACTGTATCACAATTTTTTAATGGATCAGCTTTTTTGAATAACACCATGTTTATAAATGTAATTAAAATAGAAGGCGCACACGCAGGGCTTTTAGGGAAATCTGAAATCACCACAGAATATTTAAAATAATTAGATTACTATTTAACATTTCAAAATAATATCCAAATTAATTGAAATAAATACCATTTTGAGGTGCATATGATACCCATTTAATAAACATCAATAAAACCATGTAGAAGAATAGGAATACTAAGAATATCACTTGTGGAATAAAATCACAAATAATGGAAAGCCTATCTTTAAAATACCTAAAAATTGTAATACATTCAAATTTAATAACATTAACATGTGCATTGAGATATTTAAGGTATTTAGATTATTACCTATAGTTGTACAAACTCAGACTAACACCACCCAACATGTGTAACACACCAATTATAATTGAAATTTTCATTTTATATGCATTCAAAAATACAATCTTGTTTAAAGCCAACTGAAATAGTAAAAATAATAAATATATATTTCTGACAATAAAGTCTATTGTAAAGGTTAGGTTAGGTCTATTGAATAGACGTTACAAAGAATTGTATAGTGTATAAAATAAATTACTCTATTTTTACCTGCCAAACAGGATCAAGTCCCACTGGATACGGGTTTTGATCATAATCCAATGATTCAGAAGGATTAAGCTGTAAGTTTTTATTTGTTAATATTGTCGATTCATTGTAATTTGTATGCCAATGAGAGCCAAACAAATTAAGGGATTTTGAAAATATATCATTATATATTAGACCAGTGTACATAGAAAAGAGGCCCATAAGTAATATAATGTAGCGACCCGAAAAGAAAATATTCCACACCTAAAATAAATATTATTAATAATAACAAATTAACATTTATAAAATATTTAAGTGTTTTATTATAATTTTTTTTTTATTTGATGTGCATACTTCATTGTCTGTTTTCTTTGCAGCTAATGGTTTTTCGCGCAATACTAAGAATGCAGCAAATAAAAACATCAATAATCCATGACCAAGATCACCGAACATCACAGCAAACAAAAATGGAAAACTGATTATAGTATATGGGGCTGTAATTAAAATAAAATAAATAAAATATTAAATCATATTCAATTAAAAACTTTTAAACTTTACTTGGATTTATTTCTCTGTAACTGGCTATACCATAAGCATCTACCAAATTTTGGAAAGCACTTGTAAATTTATTTGTTCGGTTGTAAGTTGGTGGATCTTCAAATGTGTCCATTCTGTTCAATATGGGTGGTACAGAACTACCACTACGTTCCTATTGTAATATATAATTAAAAACTGATAGACATATTATAAGATAATTAAATCTTACTGTTCCTCTACGTAAAGCCAATTGTATAGTTTCAATATCAAGCAATGGTACCCAACATTCAGCAATTAAACATTTCTGTGTAACATCCAAGTTAAATAAATTTAATGTATGATAAATTGCCTTGATTTTAACAACTTTAATGAACCAATTTTTAATGTTTTTAGCAGCAGCAACTAGCACACGATGACGATGGTCTTGTGTTTGACCCAGCACCTACAAACAATTGTCTTGTGATAAAATTCTTAAGTTTAAATTAATGTTTAACAGTTATTTACAGTGTTTAAATCTTCAATTCGAGTCATAACTCCCATAGCCATTTCACGTCGTTGAGATGGAGCTTCAGGACATGGATATAATGTCGCACGGAATCCTTCACATATTTTACGAACTCGAGACTTCAATTGATCTCCTTGGAAGAATATTATGAAAACTGATTTGTGAACTTGATCTCCCTAAAAATTTAATCATTACAAATATTTTATAAGAGATACACCTATGTATTTGTCTGACAATAATATGAGCACTGATACAGGTTGAAATTTAATTTAGATAATATAACCATTCTTACAGTTGATGGATCTTCTAACGGTGTTTCTATTTCTGCTTGCCTCAAAAATACATTTCCACGACAGGCACGCCATAACATTCGCTCGAATGCAGGAATTCTCTCTCGCAGTATAACACCAGCAACAAATCTTTAATTTCAAAATAATTTAATAAGTCTATTTAAAAGAGTAATTTTGAAAAATTGATTATTAAACATAATAAAGCATTGAAGACAAAACCATATTAGCCAGACTATTAAAATTGTAAGTAAATAAAACTAAGATTGTGGTGGAATGATCAATATAATTTTTCTCCCATTAACCAAAATCAGTCTTAGACCTGCAATTCTTTCACATATTCCACTCACCAACTCAGAAACGATGGATTATTATAGTGTTTATGAAATGATTCAAATTAATAAAAAAATTTAATTCATTTATCAAACTCTCACAACAAAACATAAATGCCCTTAGTTAAGCATGTTTTTTTAAAAAAATGTACATAGTATAATTTGGTAATCTCAATATTAAAAATTGTGTTTAATCATATAAACGTTTTGTAAATATCCATGTGTAGATGTGTATAAATAATAATATCAATATATAGATACATACCCCAATTGCACTGGGCCAGCGTTGACTTGACGTGCTATTGAGTCATCACTAATAAGAGCCCGCGTCATCGATTCTGTTGGGTGCAAACCACCCTCTTGCTATTGTACACCACACACACACGCGCGCACACACACATATGGTCGTAAAATTTTAATACATTTCTGATCTTTTATGATTATTTTAAAAATTTATTAAATAAGAAATTATCTTTTGGTATTTGTTTAAAGTCTACAAATCATGTATGTTGTGAAATTAATGAAAATCCATTCATAATCAAAAACCCTGCATTTGTCTTACACATTTGTTTAATGTTATTATATTAAATATAATATAATAATAGATATTTATTTGTCATTGATTAAATTAATTTGTTTAATATTATTTTTAAAATAGGCATTGTTCTTTATTAACTATAATTTAATATGAAAATATTATTGTGTACTTTAAAAATGATATATTCAAGTTTTAATTTTTATAGGGAAAATAGAGTAATGTTGTTTTGCAATGATATTATTTAAAGTGTAAAAGCAAAAGCAGTGAAGTACCAAGCACCATCTATGAGACCCATATTAACATTTGAAAATAATAAAATTGTATTAATATTAAAATAATAATTTTATTAGTGACTGGTGAGACAAGCATTGTATACAATAAATTATTATATAGGTCAAAATTTGTTGCACCCCATTTACCTGATTTATAATTTCAAAGCACAGGACCTATATTTATAATATTATGAGGCTATCAATTTTGATAAGAATTCACTAAATCAAAAATATGCTTATATTTATGATTACATATTTTCAGCAAAATTAATTAGACATTTTTAAGTTCACAGTTTAACATCGGAAAACCAACCTAGGTCCAGTTATGATGCACCATAAATAATTTTTTTCAAAAAAAAATCATATTCTTATAAATCCATCTTTTTAAGTATTTTAAATAACCAAAAACAATATATGTTGTTTTTATTAAATCCTCCACCACAATCTTATTCTAATATTAAATAATACAATACAGTAAATAACAGTTATATGATAATTTTAGTTAGTAAAAAATACAATCACAATTATTTTTGACACAAATACAATAAATTGTCATTAGGTAAGGTTAGAATGGAGTATTAATGGACATTTATTTAAGTTAATTAAAAAAAAAAAGTGAAAATTCAAATCCATAACAAATTGACATATATATAAGTAATGCCTATATTTTTATAATATTATTGAAATACGTGTATATACTTTTTCTTATGGATTTGTGAATTAAAGTTTTGATATTAATTTATTTACTAATTTTTGCCATATGATGTTGAATTTGGATACAGTAATTCCAAATCCTTATAAATTATGATATACTATACAAATATTTTTAAGTTTAATTAACTCTTACAATAATTACTATGTGATGTGTATTCACTATTAAGTTCATCAAAAAATCACAATAAAGACAACCTATAGTCGGAAAACATTGATTTTGCAAAATATTAAATTTATTATAAAATATTGTATACAGGGTGATTTTTTTATCATGAACCAGCAATTTTGTTTTTTCTTATCATTATGGAATTGTTTAAGCTTTATTTTTAAATCATTTTTAATTTTTTACCTCTAATCCATATACCTTAAATAAGTGCATACTTTTAATTTTCAAAAAGGAACCCCCCCCCCTTTTGAACACAAATTTGAATTGAGAATATTTTTCTAGAAATTGTGATATGCATCACACTAATATTAGATTTACCTTTATGAGTTATAACTGTTTAAAGTTTAGACAGGAGTATAGAAGAATCATAGATAGGCAATTTATTACCCTTCCTTACTCGTCTAGTCTAAATTTTAACCAGTTATAATTCATAAACGGTAAATCTAATATTAGTGTGATGCATATCACAATTTCTTGAAAAATATTCTCAATTCAAATTTGTGTTCAAAAGGGGGGGGGGTTCCTTTTTGAAAATCAAAAGTATGCACTTATTTAAGGTATATGGCGTAGGAGTAAAAATTAAAAATGGTTTTAAAATAAAGCTTAAACAATTCCATAATGATTAGAAAGAACAGAAATCAAATTCACTTAAAATCCTCTGAGACAATTTCTGGTTCATGATAAAAAAATTACCCTGTATACCAATAATAATGTTAATCTTACATAACAATAATATTAAATTATTTAGTATTTAAATTAAAAGCAATTAAAAATTAAATTTTAATATTATAGGTAACTGATTAATCTCTTCTTCCCAGTAAAGTATTTTTATATACTTCATTCAGAATGAATAAAATAAAACAATTAAGAACAAATAGAATATCTTGTACAGTCAACAATACTAATATTAATAAGTATTAGGTAAAATTACTTTATAGTGCAATGTAAATATGTTTTGATAATTTTCTTTTTTATTACCTAATATTGCACATACATTTTTGTACACACACACACACACACACACACACACACACACACAATATATTAGATCAAGAAAATTCACAATTGTAATTTTAGAATTGGTATTAGAATACACAGTAATCATAATAACACTCTTAGAGAATCTACCTAAAATAGTAGTTCCCAACCTTTTCTGGTTCAAATTTTGACTCTGGTCTTTTCAAGATTTTTGAACCCCAGATAAACAACCGAGCAGAATACCTAAATAATATTACATTTAAAATCCCACAGATGACATGATTGCATTGAATAGAATAATAAAGCATACAGCAATTAAAAACCAATACTACATATGAAATAAAAAAATCATATAACCGTACCCTAGTTTGAGGGCTTGACCGCCGGCGCGAAGTCCTTCCTCGCCTAGCAGTGTCACTTGCTCGTCCTCCCGATTTGGGTCAGCCATCTGCGAAGCAACCGCGGTACCCATTTGCTGTTCAGTCTGGCAACACATACACACGCACACGCATACACACACACACACACACACACACATGCGCCATAGGGACGACATACGGACATACACCACCCCACCAGACAAATATTTTTGTTATAGTAAGTATATGACGAAAATGATTGTATGAAAAAGCAAGCATCAAAAATTATTATACATTACATTGTAATAATTTTTAAATAAAATATATTAACGTCAACTTGCTCAGTTAAAATTAAATAAATATAAAAAAAAAATTAAATGCAAAATTTTAAATAAAACACATTGGAACCTAAAACTGTCTAAATCTATAATAAATATTTGTTTTAAATTAAGTATAATACAATTTTCAATGCTTACTAACCAGTAATAACTAGTAAGCAAATAAAAAAGAAGCTTAAAAAAAAAAAAAAGAATAATCTCTAAAATGATTAAATAATTAAAAGCAGAAACTTTATATTTTGAGTTTCTCTTTTTACAATAGTGTATAAACAAATGCTATAAGTGAATAATATAACTGATTATTGAAAATAAATATAATTAAATTACATAAAAATAGATATTAATGATTTTAAAATAAAATAATATATATCGATTATTAAAATGATAAAAAATTCAAAGTTAAAAATATGTAAATAATTATTTATAGGTAGATATGTTATAAAATATATTTATTTTCATGACAATTTTTTACAATATTCTAAAACAATTTAAGTTTGTATAAATAACTTAATATAAAAATATAACCAATACCAAAAAATTGCATGCTTTAACCTTTTGACGAGTAAAGACGTACTTTTACGTTTTATAGAAACCGCCTAGAAAAATATATACACACATTCTATGCAACTACACCTACTCTTGATATTATGAAATAAAAATCAAATTTATCATGTATTTTATTTGTTAAATTGTTTACTACTTAAACTATTGGACATATTGTTTATTTTGTGCGTATTTATACGTTTTTACTCAAATTTAGTATCAAGAAAACAGCAAGTTAGTTCAATCTCCCGAGCGTAAACCTATAAAAACTAATTCACTCGTGAAAGTGTTAATTTAACAATTATTTTGCTATGTTGACATGGTAAATTTTACACCTATAATCACATGTACGTATAGCTAAATTCACAATAATAAAATAACTGATAAAAATAATAACATTGTTTATATTATTTTACACTCACAAGCTAAATTATGATAATAATTAAGCTACCTAAACATTGTACGAATAAATGTGTCTTGCTATCATATACAGATAAAATAATAATATTTAACAATGGTATTGAAATACTGAATGTAAAATCTAAATCAAAATTAAAAATGGTTTATAGGTACTTTTTATATTTTTAGTTAAAAAATATATTAGTAAAAGGATAATTTTAAGAGATAAAAAAATGATCATTACTTTTAGGATAATATACTAGTCAACATCGCCAAATAAAAGTTTATTATATACAATACGATATGTTGGCAAACATCACTATTTTGTGTGAATAACACTTTACCTCCACCATTATTTATTTTATCAACTATCATTAAGAAAAAATCTTGTCACCACTATTTATGAGATTAACAATAAATACAAACTTGAGCAACTATTTTGTAACCCTAAAATAATAGAAAATGGGTGTGCAGTTATGGTAACTGTACAAAATATGCAAACATGCAAATGATAAGCAGTAGGCATATAATAACAGTATTTAGTAAATAGAAATTGAAATTATTTATGTACAAAATTTAGAAGATAAAAAATATAATGTCCATTATAAATACGCAATTATAACAAAAAGGCAAGGGGTGTATTGTAACTCGAATAGATATGAAGTAGGTATTTAATTTGAAAATACCTACAGGGTTAAATAAAATAAAGAACTATGTCTATATGGTTGTTAAAAGTATTATTATTGATTTAAAGTATTCTAATTCAATATATCATTATGATTTCAATTATAATTTAATCAATGAAATAATTTATAGAGATGACAAACAACAATAGCAAATAATTATAAAACTAGAAAATATTTAAATTAAAAAATTATGTTTAGGTGAATGCAGGAAGTAAAAGAAATGTCAATTTGTCATCAAACATATACTTTAAGAAGCTACATGAAAAACTCTCAAATACTACAGTTGTGTAATTAGCAAATAAAGCTTAACTTGATATTCTAAGATACTAATATACTCTAAAAAAAAGCAATGAAAGAAAAAAAGGATAATACTATATAAAAATACAAGAATAAATAAAAATTGCAGTGAAATAAGAAAATGATAGAAACCCAAATGAAAACTTTTTAAATCCAATGATATCATAGTAAACTATGGTGAGGTGGTTTTCGTTTAAATAGACGCTGCCAGAAACTGAAACTTTTGAGATTATTATAATATAATATTACCTATATTATTTTATACAAAATCTCTTAGACAATTAGGTACCAGTTATTTTTAAGAAATTATTTTTTGTTACTAGACAATAGGCATAAATGCTTATTTAAATAACCTAATAAAATTTTGATTTAATTTTTAAACTATTAGAATATTATAACAAACCTACTTAGATAACTTCAAATATTTATTTTAAAAATAAAGAAGAAAATTTACCTCGTCAAAAAATACTTGAGTTTTTCGTAAAATATGTTTGAGTTCAGTTAACTCAAGAAAGTTACGTTTCAAGGCCTCTGCATTATGATTGACCTCTCTCAGTTCATTTTCTAATTTTTCAAACGTAGCCTATAATAAAAAGAAATAAACAAATTTATTTTGACACGTTAAAAATAATAAATCTATAGCCTACAGGTATTTAAAAATATTTCATGATGGTTAAAGAAAATTGATTTCTTATTAGGTACCTATTTCATAATAATGCATTGTCATCGAAACTTTAAAACTAGGCGATTCATACATTGGTCAATAATACTTATTTGTAACAATATTAATTACACGTGTTAGTAGGAATCGGATAAAATTGACTTCATTTAATATGGGACATGGGTATTTAACGATGTACAGAATGGGAGTACCTCAAGGAGTATCCACTTATGATACATTAAATAATCTGAATTTGGTTCATATTGTAGGTAATTGAATAGATCAAATTTTGTTTTTAGTTTCTAAAACATGAATTATGTCAATAAAAATCAAGAAAGTACCTATATAGCATGTAAAGTACAAATAAGAAAGATCAAATTATATTACTTCAAGGTCAATCATTTCACGAGGCTGAGGGGCTTCCGGATTTTCGCCTGTGTCCAACATCGGTATTTCGTCCTTCTTAATCTCCTTTTCCAAGTACCGTAATTTTCGTTCCATTTCATCACATCTGCGCACCTCACTGACAAACTTACGTTGAAAAGCATTGACATCAGGATTCAACTAACAGTGACAAATGGAACCAAACATAAATATGTAATAACACGAGACTAATAAAATAATTTTTACTCACGTCTCTAAACTGGACCAAGCCCAGTTCTCCAAGTTCCGACACACAGGCGTATGCTGCTTCGCTTTGCAAAAACAACTGGCACAGGGCCATTTCTTCGCTGCGGAACAGCGAACCCATGGTAACTTTCTAAGTGTACCGTATAAATTTTAAAACACCACTTATATGTAGTTAAAAGTTTTAAAAATGAATATGAGAGGATTCAACCTCTCCAAAATAATTGAAACGTAATGGGTGTGGCGGACAATTCTACTAATGGCCGAACGCCGAAGTAAAATGGATATTCGAGTGTTGTAGAAATCTTATCTTGTATATGATTAAAGGAACATCTGATTTCAAATCAAACCTCACAATAAATGTAAATTGATCAAAAATGACGAAATGGATACACTGACGTGTCTTATCTTTTATTGTATTTTGATAGCAAAATGCTATATTAAATTTAAATATATTATAATAATAAATACCCAACAACAACAATAACAAAGCAAAAATTAATAAAGCAATGTATTATTATTAAACATTTGGATTTAGGCGGTTCTAGCTATTCAAACGCTATAGAAAAACAGTAACGTTTAATTTATTCCAGCTACTACAGTGGTGTACCTATAGGGTGGCATGACGACAATGAGTCACGGGCCCATGATATCTAGGGGCCCGAATCAGGACCCAAAGCATTAAAGGTGAATACAAAAAAAAAAAATGCGATAATCTTTTTTTCGCTTATTTTGTAATACGAGTGGACGGAAATGTGTTTGAAAATAGGTAATGATTTTTTTTTTAATTCTTTTGTCCCGACTCGAATTGTGCACATGGCCCTCAATTTGGTTAATCTAGAATATTTTGCCACGGGTATTAGAAGTTATAGTTACGCCACTGAGCTATTAACATATGCATAAGAAAATACATCTTATCATATTACTAGATCAAGGGTATTCGTTGGGAATATTATCACAGTTTTTCTGCATCGTCCTTTGTCTTCGGACAAGTTTTTCACTAAAACACTAGAGAAACAGCCATAAAACGACATGTGTCAATAAACTTGACACTAAACGATGATGAAATAGACTTGTTGAACGACATACCTACTTGCCTATATTTTGATTTCGGAATCATATTAATATCACTGTTATCGCAACCGAATTAACGTACAATAAAATGACTATCTACTTATCGTATGATACAACTATGTAAGTAGGTATATTGGTAAACCGAAGTTTAAAAGAAGGAATTTTAATTTTATTTCTATAATAGTTTAATTAATAATAACCCTTATATTTATTGATTAAATAATAATAAATTAACTTTTGATTTTCAAATGGCAACATGCAATAAAAATGTCTTAATAAGTAGCTTAATAAAACTATTTATTTATGAAATTGTTTTTTTTCTTTAATTTTCTGGTAAGTTAGACCTCTTCAAAGTTTTAAACTTACTAGACATGTCTATATTATATATAGACATGTACTATTTACATCAATTAATTAGCTATAAATGATAAATTTAGTTTCGTTCAATCTAAGGTAACAATATTAATAATTGTTATTGTACTTTGTACCTACCCCAATTATTTAACATTATAATAAATAATTATTGGACATTTTTGAATTACCGACGACTAATTAGTAGAAATAATTATAGCAAAGGAGTAAAATATAATAAACAGTTGTCCGAAAATTATAGAAATTCGGTTGACTTTTATAAATGGTTTTTTTCATTTTCGTTTCCGTTAACCAACCTCATATACAATAGGTTCATTTATTTAATTGAGCTCGGTAAAAGTTTTTAACCAGTTCTATTGGTGCAATATTTATAGATTATCTACAAAACTTAAGTTAATGAATTCCGAAAAACAGACGAAGGAAAAAAGGACAAACAAAAAAGATCACAAAAAAAGAACAAAAATTTAAAATCGTTAGGTTGTAAATTTGCAATAATCCTGATCATTAATGAACGGTGGCATTATACTTTAAAGCTTTTAACAAATTGACATCAGATTCGCTTGCAGTGTGATTATGTTCTGTTGTCACAGAATGGTCTGTTTTTAGAATAAATCGGAGAAAAACAAGGGTAAGAACGACAAAAAAATGTCAAATGTATTTTGCATAAAAATCACAAATATTAGTTTCTAATGTTGACCCCCGATTAAAAAACATCATCCGTTGTATGGCTATATTGTGTTTTAAGGATATTTTTGGGAGAGGGAGTTAAATATATTGTTTTTAATTAGTAATAGTATTTATTTTAAAATATGTACAGAAATTCGAAGGCACTTATGCAGAATTACAAAATAAACTCAAAATATTATGTGAAATATATTTAAGTAGGGAAAGAGATCAACCGAACATTTTAATAGCTTTTCAAATACTATACGATATTTATAATTTATTATTATTATTATTATTATTTACCTATTTATATTTTTGATAATTTATAATTTGTTAAATTGAATTTATTGACTTAAAACTAATGTTTGTGATTTTTAAGTAAAATGCATTTGACGTTTTTTACCTTGTCGGTTTTTTCCTAGATTTTATAAATACCAGGACTAGGTATTCTTTGTTGAACATATCTAAGTAAAATTATTGTTTCCCTTGTACTTGGTAATATGAGTGTATACTTTTCAAAGCCTATCGTCTCACGCCTTTATTAATTTTACAAATTTACATTTAAATAATATTTATTTGACTGTATGTCAACAGATATTCACTAAAATAAAAACATAAAATACAATTTATTAAACTTTTCACGTATAACTGTGACTGTAACGATGGATAGGACACTGTTATAGGCGAAAAGTTGGGAAGGCCGGATGTAGAAGGGAATTTAATGTATATCTGTACGTACTAATTGAACTTTGCTAACGAAGAATGATTCTGAGCGGAATTGGGTTATATGTGTTTTAAAAGGCCGTTATATGTACGATTTTCATTAAAATTCTAAAAAAAAAAAATATTACATTAAACTCAACTTTTTATTGTTGATCACTTAGTACAACTTACAATGAACCACTTGTTAAATTTTCAAATTGTTGTAAGTCGGCCCGCGAAAACGGCTGGGGCTAGGGTAAACTGGCGGTATTCAAACGTAAAACGCAAACAAAAGTGTCCTACTTTGGAAGTAATTTAAAAATTTGAGTAATCATTAGTACGTTCAATTAATGATCTTATTTTAGTAAACCATTTATTGTAGCGCTCCTCTGGAGTATCATGGATAGGACTAATTAATGGTGATTAGATTCTATGCTCATGATTTTTGTAGAGCAAAATATTGCAACTTCAGTCAACTATGATTATGTCATAGAAGATTTCAAACCACAAACATAACCAAACATAAAGCGACGTTTAGAAATGTATTTAATTTTTACAAACATAATAAATATACGCAGTATGTATATAGTTTTGTATTAACATATTATAACAAAATTTAAAAGAATTTATTTTTTTTGAAAGTGTTTATTTGGTTTTTATAGTTAATACTCTGGGAAAAAAAATTTAGAGGTTGGGTATACAAATATTTTACTTACACCTCTTGCTAAAAAAGTTTGTTTACGCCTATGCTAATAACGTTAGGGATGCTATATTTATCAGTGAATCTTATTATTTTGAGTTTTGGTAAACCAAAGTAGGTATTATAGATCCAAATGAAAATAAAATTGTTGTAATACTTAATCCTGCCTAATATGGTTTAAATTATCTAATGTCGTAGATGGAAATTGTACATTGGGCACATCTAATAATAATAGTAGGCAACTTATTAAACCATTAGAAGTAAAAATAAGGAGTTGTATAGGCAAAATTGTGTACAAAATTGGGAACCACTGGGCTTTCTTATCAAATATTGCTAGCGGAAGATACATCAAAAATGATGAAATGGACACACTGAAGTGTTTTATCTTTCATCATGTTTAGATGGCAAAATCAGTATAAAATCGGTGTAACAATTAACAAACAATAACAAATATTTATAAAATTTTTAATTTAGAAGAGAAATACAGAATTGATTATTTGACTGTAAGTTTCAACATAAAATAGATCTAATGTCTGAATACGAATTCGTCGCTGGAGGAAAACTGAAATTGAAAGGCGATTCGGGAATAAAAAAGTAAGTTGAGAGGATTTATTATTCTCAAATTATGTCATGATAGGTTCGTTTGATATTTTTCTATCAAATATATCTTCTTCTCCTTTGTCTTCATCCCAGCTATTGGTTTGGGCCACTCTCATTTTAAATTTGATTTGATATCTACATCTTCGAATTCACCCACAACTTTCATATAATTCTCAATCGCATCCAACCCCTGCTTTTTCGTCTTTCTTCTCTCCCTTTCTCCTCTAACGTTTATTTTTATTCAAATTATTATTACTTTTGTTTCCTTTCATGACATGCCCAAATCATCTCAGTCTGTTTCTTCTCATTTTATCTAATATTAAATCCATGCCTAAATTACTCTTATGTATTCATTCTTTATCCTATCTTCTCTCTTCACTCTATTCATCCACCTATGCCTTCTTATCTCTAATACACTAATTCTATGTTCTACTTCTCTGTCTACCAACCAACACTTTGAACCATACAACATAGCCAATTTTACTGAACTCTTGTAGAACTTACCTTATTATATTTAAATAAATATTAACTGATAATGGGGCTTTTATTTCCTAGTTTTATTAATTGCACCATTTCCAATGAAAAACTGTGAGCGCCTCTAAGAATACATCATATGCATAAACGTCATCTGTCAGACATATTTAATAAAAATTCTCTACATTTACAACAACTTGTTATTTTTTTTACTCTCATTTTCTATTTCAAAATTTAAAATTATGATGTTTATTTAAAATGTCTTTTTTATTCTGTTACCTTATATATTCAGGCAGAACATATTATTTATCATCATTTAATTATAATAGTTTTCAAACAGTTTTGTATTTCTATGATTATATTATAGGTAATAAAATGGATCTGAAAACATAATATTTTTGTATTATTAATGAATGGTTTATTTTGTTTGGCATAGAAAAAAAAAGAAGAGTTGTAAAGATAAGGGGAAAATGATTGAAAAAATTAACAAAGAATTGGAGCAACAAAAGGTTAAAGAATATTATGTACCTCCCACAAAAGCAGAGCTGGCATTCATGAAACAACAAGAAAAATTGGTAAGTATTTTGATCAAAGTTAAGTGTTTGTTTTGTTTAAAAATGTAAATTTATTATGTTATTTATTGTATGATGAAGCAAAAAGAAAAAATTTTGAAAATTGCATCAACTACTCATAAACAAAGGGTTGAAGAATTTAATCGTCATTTGGATAGTCTCACAGAACATTTTGATATACCCAAAGTCAGTTGGACCAAATAAGTGTCCTTTAATTTCTAAAATTGTTGTCAGTGTTATTATTCATCAGCATAATATATGTATTTTAAGCTAATTCTATAATAATTTTTAAATATATCTTAATAAACGTACAACTAGTTTTTTTTTATTGATCATCAATAAATTATCTGTATATTCTCAGTGGTGAGGCTATTAGAAATAAGAAAACAAATTTATGTTTAAAATATTACATGCTGGCTACCGTATTTACAGTACTGTACATATATCTAACTTAGTTCTGGCCAGTTTGTTAATTATGAGCATAACTATGTAATATTATAAAAACATTTATATTATAATATTGATGTAATTATTATTTGTTTTAAATTTACCATATGCTTGGAATGATTAATTATTTTTAATATATTGTATTTTTCTCACTACTATTTACTTTTAACATTAAGTTTATGGGTAATATATTTCTTCTCTTAGTATATTTTTATAATTTCTAATTTAATTTCTAATTAAATTAATAAATTATGTAAACGTAATTATTTATCTGAAATTATTGGGGGTTGTATCAGTAATATTTATATATATATAAAAAATAAATTTACAATTGAAGCATATTAAAAAATGTCATGCAACACTATTGATTAATAAAGATATACAATACATTTTTAAAAAAAGGCTGGTACTGCTTATGGATTCCACTGTTATAGGAAGGAAGTTGAAAGGTTGAATGTATAAAGTATTTCAAATCATACTCATTAATAAACTATAGCTAATTAAAAAACAATTCTGAGTATAGTATTATTAGTCATATTTTTTAATTTGTTTCCAAGGAAACCTAGATATCAACAAAATATATAAAAAATTGCCAATTTTTCCCATTTATAAAGAAAAAAAAATAACTTCACCAATGTACTAACAAAATCAAAATTTCTACATGAAAGTCCTAATACATTTTTTGGTTGGAGTAAGATTTTTGATAGAATTTATGTTTACAGACACAAACAAACTGTATTATAGTAAAATAAATACATTCCCTGGTTTGTCAGAATTTTAAAAAAACCAATTAACATACGAATAAATATTATGAGAGTGGAAAAAAAACAATTAGTCATTATAAGACATTTCTTATAATCCACCATTGTTATCACTAATTATTTGTGACATTGATTCTTTCCAATTTGTTGTAAACCTTTTTCTGAGATTGAATTCAATCAATATTTCTGTTACATTAGACACTATGTCCGAAATAATATTTCCAACCGGATCAGGGAAGTCAAAATTAGGTTTCCATTCACCATTCTCAATGCAAACTGGCTGAGACATAAACATTCCGAATGGTAAACCAAAAGTTCCTATAATAATAAAATACAAATTATTATTTTAGAATCTGAGCAGTTAATGAACTTTGTTGAAATTATTGAATTTACCTACCTGTAAATAACAATAATTTATAATAATTGTTTTGGTTGTTAATAGCATTAAAAGAAAAGAATAATGAAAATACATTAATAGATAGAGGTGTTTTTATAATGGAACCAATTCAGTGCTGTAGCCAGGAGGGCATTCAGGCACATGTTTCCGAAATCGTTTGTTTTATTAGGAGTTATCGTTATTTAGATGTATTTTATCAATCTAAAAAAATTATAGATAAATAGGTAATAATAGAAATTATTAGGCCTCTTACCCCCAAAAATTTTTTCTGGTTAGAGTACCGAACCAATTAATTGGGCCTGGAGTAAACGAAGAATGCTTAGGAGTATTATTATCTTCCCAATTAATAACTAATTTTACTGGTGTGTGTAGTCCAAGTAAAGGTCCGTGATGTAAGAAATTAATTGTGATAGGTTGTTGGGGTAGAATATATAAAAATGTCTAGTATGTTTGGGTGCCTATTAGTTTGAATAAATCAGTAAGTTGGACAACTGGTAGAGTTACCACTGATTATAAAATTATTCCCCTAGTAGGAGAATAATTCTGTAAAGTCACCATATGTAATTTTTTGGTTTAATGGTTGTGAGGTGATTGTTATAGGGGTACCTAGATACTAGTTATATGATTTGCAATGATTTGAATAGAAATTATCTGTTAGTAGTGAGGGAGTAATTTAGTGTGTCTTTAGATTACATTCCTGATGTTTCTGGTTTAGAAACCTAAAGTTGAAAGTTTATATTTAACAAATTTTAAGTTGATTTATGGATGGAAGTTTTTAATAACAACTATAGGTACCTATATGGTTTATCTATCTCGGTTAACCTGATAAGAATTAAGAATGAAAAGAAACATTTCCTGTTTTAATAACTTAATAACAACTTTGTAAGATTCAGATGTAGAAGTTTGAAATTTTATTTCTTTGGTTGATGTTTTGCATTTACAATTCATGGGTTTCATTAGTTAATGGATTTTGATATGGAAGTTTGATATCGAATTTATTTAAGCTTGGGTAAAAATAGGTACCTAGGTAGCGAATGACGATTTCGAAAACTTATCTTCAACGATTTCATCTATATGCCGGACGGGATCAAATTCCATTGAAACATCGTCAATAGGTACGATGAGAGAAAATCAGTTTGGCAAGAGAAAAAGGTTTTTTATAGTCGTATTTTTATATGTTGGTGAAATATTTGGGATATAGGAAAACAAAGCCACCGAAAAAAAGCCATGGAATAAAAAGCCGCATGGAAAAATAATCTACGGAAAAAAAATTCATGGGAAAAATAAACCACAGAAAAAAAAATGTATTTATTATATTATAATTAGTTACATTAGGTGTTATTAATTTTATAAAAATAGCAATAGCATTTTATACCTTTATAATAGTAATGAATGTATTATTATTATTGTTTTCTGATACCTTATATAGAACAATTTTTTAATACTGATTGATATTGATATAGTGTGTATTTTTTTGTATTTTTACTAAAAACTTTATTCAACTTATTTTTAACTTCATTAACTTTTCTGGTAAGAAAATTAATGGTTGGTCGGGGAAAACAAAAAAAAAAGAGACGTCCTAGGATAATGGGGACGGGTGCAGCTGCTGTTGTAGGTTTATCTATATAAACCATTGCTTACGAAAAAACGATTCTGAGCGGAGTTCACTTAATAGTGATATTTTGTCAACAATATCCTATATTATAGTAAAATAGGCTCTATATATTTTTTTTAATAATATTTACCTAATGTTATACCGATTTTTCCGGTTTTCCCAGTTTTTCACATTTGTTGAGAAAACTTCGGGAAAAAAACCGATCTCTATAGTACCTTCCCAGTGAAATTTCTTTTCAGAAACGTTGCTATCGTTGAAAGTTGGAGCAAAATTGCTTGTTGAAAAGTTGTGCACAGGAAAAAAAAATAGTATTTTTTTATTTTTATTTCAATATGAGCCGCGGCCCAAAATACAGAATAACAATTAATATAATTAAAATGAACACATTAAAAGTGCATAAAGTATAAATAACAATAGAAAGAGCAAAAAGTGCACAATATAATGCTTTTAGCGGAGTTATCAACTTAAATTTTTTGCGAACCCGCTTAAGAAATCCAAGAACTTTTAAAGCTTTACAGCACGACGCATCTATATGGGAACGAAAATTTAGATCACTGTCATAGATAACTCCAAGATCTTTTATCGCATTATCTTCGATTGTAAGATAAGAGCCGTGCATAATATATTTAAATTTCAAACGAGTACGACTTCTATAAAAAAAACTTAGAACAACATTTGGAGGGATAAAGTCCAAACCAATATTAACAGTCCAAGCATCTAATTCGTTTAAGTCACTTTGAAGTAGGTGACAGTCAAGTACAGAGGGAATTTTTAAAAACAGCTTCAAGCCATCTGCAAATAGTTGGAGTTTACTGTGACGAATAACTTTGTTTACACTATTAATAAATAATGTAAAAAGTAACAGAGAAAGGTATTGAGGCGCATAGTGGGGCAAACGATATCAAAAGCTGGCAAAAATAGCATTTATCGAATTGAATTATCTTATCGTATTATTATGTATATCCGATATAACGATGCTGACCTTAATTGATTTAGTTACAGCAGTCGTAGCATTAGTTCACCACGCATTATAATTTAACTGGATTTAAATTTTTTTATTGTTTTTGTTATAACTTTGCGATTTTTAAGTGTACCACCTTCAAATTAACACAAAACACCTAACTAAAGGTCAGTTTCGCCACACTTTTTTTTAAAATAAGTGTGTTATTTTGAATATATATATATATATATATATATATATACGTATATTCGTCATTGTATATATTCGTACAATAAAGATATACAATTTTAATTCACTTTCAAATTCGTCCAAGCTTTAATAATTGCAAAATATAATAGTTACTAGAGTAATTTTTCAATTCGAGGAAAAAAATGTTGCTTATATTTGCCCTATTATGTGTTAATAGTTTTTGACAACGACAACGCATACTAATTTCATAAGAAAAAACAATTATTTTACTCATTAATCATTATTTTTATTTTTTTGGGATCGGTTTAGTCTAGCACGAATTATTGTTTAAAGGTCAAAATATAACACAGCTAGATGTTTTTTTCAAAATTCGGAAATTTCCGATGAAATTACTAAATTAGATGTAGAATTAATTAAAAAAATACACATAGTAATGATAGTAGTAGCTAGTGGATTCGAAATTAAAATTGATGAGTTTCGTGAATATACTTATAAAATTGCAAAGTATTTTGTAAAGAAGTATTCGTGGTACAATATATCTCTCACGATGCACAAGTTCTTTATTCATGGACCAGAAATAATTGAATCTACTTTATTAACAATAGGACAGTTGGCTGAAGAAGCCCAAGAAGCGCGAAATAAGGACTTTAAAAGATACCGAGAGCATAAATCCAGGAAAAAACTAATTTAGATATTATTAATTTGTTATTACTAAGTTTAGATCCTGTAATTTCAAGTAAAAGAAAATTACTAAAGAAAAAATTGCTATCAATTCCAGTTGAAGCACCTGCTTTATTAAAATCACCAAATTTCCCGCTCTCATTTCGATATGATGACAATGATGATGGTTGAAGGTAACGCTGATGACGATGATGATGATGATGGTGACGATAACTAAAACTAATTTAAAACTTATAACTTTAAATAACACTTATTATGAACAATTATTTATTTCATTAATAAAATAGACAGTCATTTCTTCAAAAATGTCTCGAAAAAACTAAATATCTTTTGTTAATATGTTAATAACTTATTGCGTTATGTCTAATAGAAAATACTAAATACAAACATCCATTTTTGCAAGAAGAAAAAGATTACATGAAAACATAATTATCATTGGACAAAGTAATATTCGGAAGATTAAAATTACTATGGAGAATCAACAAGTGGTCAAAATAAATGGAAAGTAAATTCTTAACAGTAGACATATAGGTCTCAAAAGGATTGAGAAGGAGAATTTGGAGGTAGGTAGGTGCTGCTAATTATAATTTAAATTTTTTCCTATTAAGAGCAAAGCTCACAAATAAAGTTTCAATACCCACACAAGATAGTCAATACGTACACCAAAATGGACCCCTCCACCCCTAGAGTGGCTACTAGTGGTACGATTTCGGTAAAATCGAAAAATATTATAACTAAACAAATTAAGTTCACCATCAGCTATATCCTTGTTAAGCCACGGTTCAGTTAATGCAAAAAACGGATAGTTAAAACAAGAAGTATTACATCTAAAACTAAATAATTTAGTTTTAAGTCCTCTACAGTTTTGATAAAAACCAAGAAATACATTTACACATAAATAAATATTATTTACAATATTTTTGATATAATATTTTAGTCATATATTTCGTACATTTTCCCGTTTTTTTTTTCGGTTTTTCAAATTGTATGAGAAAAGTCGAGAAAATAGAAAAATAATCTACAGTATTTCTCCACACTGATTTTCTTTCAGAAAAAGCGCTACACTTAGAAATACGAGCAAGTTTTTTGGTAGAAAAGTTGTTAACAGACAAAAAAAAAAATAAATATTTTTGTAAAACTTTATAAGCTTCTTCACTCCAATCAGAATCTAAAATTAAAAGTACAAAGTATACACTCTGCCTTTTTTTTCTGATTACCAAATATTCGGGTTTGCCAATTTAATCCGATTACTTTTTGATTTTGCTTCAACGATTTAGAGTCGTCGTTAGGCTTATCAATATTATCAACGGTACTTAGCATTTTCTTTTTAATTATAGTGGCGGGTGTGAAAATCGCACCTTGTTGATTACTTTGTTAATTGGCAATGACGGGGTACATTTAAATAATTAGGCTTATCTGCTGTGGCAGGAGGCGAGGACGGTGGGATAACCGCTGCGCTCGCCGTATTACAACTCATTGTGTTTATTTGTGGCGGGTAATTAAAATGTAAATTGATGCTTTCCGGGGTTAAGAAATTTCGAAATTTGTGACAGTATGTGTGGAATGTGGTTTGTGTATATTTCAGTTTTCGTACGGTATGCATTTGAAAAGAAAAGTCAAAAAGAACACAGAGAAACAGATTAATGACACGAGCTTAATAAGTATAGGGGGTATATGTGATCTCAGCGAGCATTGATGTTAAACACTTTGTTAAGTTAAAACAGTTTTTTAAAAATTAGCCTTTAAACTAAATACTTAATGTTCACCATTGCTAAGTTTTGAAAAAATTTCATGATTACACACTAATGAATAATTGTGATTTATTTGAAAGTTAATTTAATTGATATCTTTGTTTTTCAGATGATAAGTTTTCAATTTTGTTTAATTTTTATTAAAATTGCATATACCAACCGTCAACATAAAATGAGGTTTTTGGTATTACTTTATAATATATAATTGGTTGCATGGGAAGTAATTTATTTTGTAATTTCTAGTTGGTAGGTAAGTAAGTATTTTAATGATTAGAGAAATAAATGACAATATAGCTACATCAGTTTTTGACAAAGTTTAAAGTTTGAAATGTTGAACAAGGGTAGGTAGGTACTCGTTCGTAAACTGATTTTTAAATTTAAATCTCCACACGCGCACTCATCTTTGAATATTAAATTTCTTTCAGTGATTAAAGTAGGAACAACTTCGATAGGCGACTATTTTTACTAGAAATTAAGACGCATTCTCGAGAACTAACTAAATCTAACAAAATTTTTAGAAAACCCATCACAGAGATATTAAGACTTCCAAAATGTTTTTTTTTCATATATAGTTCATAAAGTGTTATAATAAGTAATAGGCAGTGGCGTCATTTCAGTTTTTGAGAAGGGGATGCAAAAGTTTTAACCGGCCCATATTAAAACTAAAAAAAAAAACCAATTTGCTTAGCTCAATAACTTATTAGTAACAATTAAACTTTTATCTCAATACAAATATTCTTATTACATTATTTTATACTTACTAGTTACTATCATAGGCGTGAATAACCCATTGTTTTTGAATGACAACAATTAGGGACTATAAATAATAAATATATATGTAGAGGGATACCTAAATATATTATCTATTAGGTACTCTAATATGAAGACTTAATTTTCTTAAACTAAAGGTGATTGACAATTTCACCTTAAATAAGAAGGGAAATTTGGTCTTCATCCACACCTCCCTCCACAATTTAATCACTGATTTATTTCATTATATTTTTGTTAATATTTGTAATTTATATTATTGTAAAATAAGTGTCTAACCTATATAATAACCTATAATCTCAACATGAGGAATGGATATAGGTATCAGGTATACGTCACGTGTTAAATTCGAACGAGTATACTTTACGCGAAAAGAAACAAACCATCGGAAAAAACTGCCGCACTGATGGTTACGCGATCGTTATCTTCGTTATCAAACCATTCCGATATCAATCTGACGGCGGCGCGTACTTCGGGCAAACAGCTTAGTGGATAATGTCGTGTAATCTGCGAAACAATTGATTTTAGACGTCGTATAGCATACCTATCATTTGATTTCACAACAGACCGATTAGACTTTATATTAAAAGTGTATTTGGAGGCGGGGGGATTTGTCCCGGATATCACTTTTAGCGGATGATGTGTCAACAAAAGTTGTCCCAAAATCCCCAAAACGGTTACAATATTAAGTAGGTACCTACCAGTGGCGCTGAACATGATAACATGCATTAAGTTGGTCAGGTCGTTCAATTGAAATTCTTTGCAAAATAAGTGGGTGGGTAAAAAAGCAGATTTAATTTTGTTCTATGTATAGCCGTATAGTGCTGAACATAAACACTCTTAATAAAGTTTTAAGAAATCTATTTACGCAATTATTTAAACAGTTGGTAAAAATAAGTAAATATTATATTAAAATGCTTTAAATTTATAGGCCGCGGTGTATCCAGAATTTTTTTTTATAGGGGTCGAGGGGGGGAGGTTGAAAAAATATAACAAATGAAAACCTTTTTGATTTTGTGTGTATTATAATCATAAATTAAAAATTGTATTCCTATTTTACAGCGCTAATTATATAGAAAATTAAATATTTATCTTTTTTAAAAATTATAAATGAATATTCATTTTTCGTTTTGATGTTTTAGCAAGTATTCTATAACATCATTGGTATCCATGTTGATATCGCGATGAACATATTTTAGTAAGGCTAAACCATTTAAACGTATTTGTCTTGAAAAATTTCTCAAAATATGTTTTCAAACGACGGAGTGTTGGAAACGGTCGTTCTCCCGTGGCAGTAGACACTAGAAGTGTTATGAATATTTGAAATTTAGATATTACTGGGTAAACATCTGGACTAGTTTGAAAGGATACTTCAATAGTATTTTTGTTCGAGTTCGGAAGATGTTAAACTTGAATATTTAGTGTACCACAAATTTAATTCTCCGTTTAATATATGATCATTTAAATTTGAATCGTTATATTCATTAATTGTATCTTACTTTGTTTCTACTAATTGTTTGAGTTTACCTTAAATATCTTCAGATATTTTCATTTCTATCTTAGATAAAATACAATCAAAATTATTCAAAACAATCCTGTGCGATATAAATCTTTCGTTCAATTGGTCTAAACAATTATCTTTATAAAAGGTACAAATACTTAAAAATATTCTGAATCATCTAATTTCGATTGACGTGACAAATTACAGTAATAACAAATTTTTCACAGACAGTTATTACGGATAAAAATAATTGTTGAAACTCTACATCACAATTTTCTCTAATATTCTGAATATTACACTGAACATTAGCAGCCTTTAATGCAGTTTTTAAATCAAGATTTACTGTTTGAAGATATAGGCTAAGTAGAAAACGTATGGAAAGTATTTTCACTAAAATATATAAAGCTGTTTGAAATTTTAACTGTTTTATCGTAGTAAGAAGTGACTTGCAGAACTAGAAGTGTCAGAATCTGTCCAAAGTGCTATTTATTTTTATTTTATTTTTTTAAATGCACTAGATAATTTTATCTGGTGCATGTAAAATGGCTGTTTGAAGTTCCTCAAATAATATAACTGCATCATGGCATTGACGTTGATTTACCTGTGTGTACTGGTTGCAGCTGCCATCGTCGTCGACCGTATCCGCAACGCCCGTAGACAACAACAACACGTTCCGCAGGTATTTATGGTTTTTCGACGGCGTCCTCGTATTTGGTACCATGGTCGTGGTAGCACCACTGTCACAGTGGTAAACCACGTTATTCACGTCGATGTATTTGTTCGAACCGACAAAACCCCAAACCGGCGGGCAGTGCAATTCCGGAATAGGGACGCCACTTGCCTGATGGACATTTATTTTCAAACAATCATTTTTAATCACTTCAAATGCTCATAGTATCTTACCAACTAAATAGCTACATCGGTCAAACTTTTTATTATAATTGTAAAATACTGAGCAACACGCACGACGCAAACACAACCATCAGTGAATTATAATCAGTTGTTTGTGGAGAAAATCGATACTATATGTATACACGCGAGGTCTATTTTAATTATTAAAAAATGATTAGTCATCAGTGTTTAAACCGTAGGTATATCACTGATTTTATATAAATTATTAATAAACACTCGTAATATTTTTGTTCAACTACGAGCAAATCTAATATTATTCGCATAGAAGTTATAGGTAACGTGTTTGGTTTTTTGTTTCTTGACATAATAAGAAAAAAAAAATAAATAGAATTCCCGAATGGACATAGTTGGCGCAACGACGTAGTTATTCGTACATTATGCTAGGTGCTTACTCGAGATATAGCCGGCAACGTCCCCATACCGTGATGACCGGTCACGCCGACGAAGTTATACAAATAAACGCCATGGGCGTACTCGGCCAACACGCTTAGGTTGAAGCACAATAGTTCCATGCCGGTCAGCAGCACTTTGCAGTATTCGGGACAGTGGCGGTTGAGAATGGAAGCTAAAGATTTCATCGCACCGTAGTTACGGTTCATCCAGGTATGGTGGGGTTCGTTTTCTTCCCTGCGGTGCCAGAAACCGGTAATGATAACAATATATTCATAGGCGCTATCAGGGTGGGTGGTATGGGGTAAGCTCAATCAATTTTCACGTTTCTCTCTTAAATAATTTTTAGAGTAATTAGTATAGTAGGTAACTAGTTAATAATTAAAGTAATTGTGCAGTAGCCAAAATGTCTTGTAAAGTGGCATCATGATTCATTGATTATTCATGATGACTCGACTCGGGGACCTGTTTTTTTTAGGCCAAAATAAATAAAATGTTTGCATAGTTTCTTCTAATACATCCTCTAAATTCCAATATTGTGAAAGTTGAACAAATCATGTCACAGAAATAAGTTAATATTATAATATGCGTACTTGTTTGCGTCGCCGACGACAATGAGCAAATCGCATTTTAACAGGCCCACTTCGATGCTGTTGACCAACACTACGGCGTCGTGCCCGCGATCGTTGAATTCCCCAATGTTTATTTCGTTTTTGATTTTCATTAAATCTGTATGACAGTAGAAAATCACGTATAAACTACTCAAAATCCGTTTTCATGGATACCCTAGCCAACCCACGTCCCCCTTTCTTGAGTTTTCCTGAAGTTCGCCTTATTTTACCACGAAATTAATTTTTATCTCTCATTGTTCTTGTCATACATACACAGCTAATCTCAGACAACCTCTTGTACGATTTGTTCGTAATACTATTTAAACTCCAGGTTACGTCGTACGAACACTTAACATGCTCATTTCCAATTACCATTACTTATAAAAAAACGCACCTCCGTATTTATTCACGTCCTTATGATGCAGACGTATCGTAATGCCACCTTCGGTGTGGAGCGGTTTCAGCTGTAGCAGTTCCATTATCAGGTAACAAGTGGATGGGTAGTCTGCACCAGTTATGCATACCTTTCTCGGCTCAGACCGTTGTACTGGTATTTGCTCGGTCATCATCAAAGGTAATCTCTGAAAATTATTTTTGTTGTAAATTGAGTAACTGTTCGCTGACTTACCTATACCAGGTCACACAATAGATCACGGTAGGAGTTTGAAAATATAACTTTGTACTTTGAACTATCATAGGTAGAATCACGGGGTGTACGGGGTGTGCCAAGGCACACCTTGATGTGAAAAAAAAAGTGCTGATACTGGAGACGAGTGCGGCCATTTTTGTAGGTGGGTAGTTAGAAAGGTGAGATACATAAAGTTATTTAATTTATTCCTGTAATTAAAAATAAATCATTGCTAACGAAAAAACAATTCGTAGCAAAGTTCGATTATACGTGTTTTGAAAAGTCGTAATATTTACGATTGTTTTCAAAATTTTATTTTAAAATTACTCATAATATAAAAAAAAAACACACATACCTAATACATTACAATTTTTTTTTATTACTATAAGTACGACTTATAATGAACTTTTTGTCAAATTTTCAAGCATTTCTGTTTATTCTAACAATTGTATTCACAGAGTATCTACTAAATAAAAATTATATGAAAAACTTTCAAAATTAAAATTTCTACAAAAAATGGCTCAAAAATGGCTCAAATATTTTAAAAATTTTACCTCGTCTAGAAAAGAAATATAAGATTTTATTAAAATGTCACGTCTACGAATATTTTTCACTGAATTAAATAAAAAAATAATTTTCGTACATTTTCCGGTTCTTTCTACTTATTTTTTGGTTTTGCTCAATTATCAAAATAACTACAAAGAAAATCAAAAAACGAATTACTTACTCCACAATAATATTACAAAATTTAACAAAATAAGTCTTTTGTATATTTCTATTGGAACAATATTTATGGTAGAAAAAATAAGCCGTAACAATTTAAAATATAGAAACTGTTGTGCCGTAGTTTGAAAAAAATATATCGTATTTTTCGTCTTTTTTAATTTTTCTCAATTATTATGAAAACTACGTTAGATATCGAAAAATAACTTACTCCGTGAGGTGGTTAAACATTGAAGGAACAAAATCGATCTCAACATTTTCACATTAGAATATTAAAAATCAAATGTGCAGAGTTACTATTTATATAGTGATTAAATTTCAAAATAAAAAGTAGACCGTGACCTTTTTCTTATTTTAAATGCCAAGTATATTAAGTTTCATTAATATTGGAAGAGCTGTACATTTTTTGTATAGCTGACACACAGACAGATATAGCTTAACAGAAATAGTTTATATAAAATTGCTTATTGGGCATATAAAAGACGTTGCGTAGATATTTAAATCATAAATCTTAAATGAATCCTATTTTTAATTATAATAAAGATGGGATTTATTCAAATTTAATGACACGATAATACGATATTCAAACCCAAGATCTACTACAGAAGAAATCATTATTGTATAGATAATAGGTATAGGTATACAGGTATCTTGATTATTGCTGCCTATACCTGTTGGTTATCCAACGCTATATATTTCTTGATTTGTTTGCTTAGTCGCGTGTCGACGTTATAATATTCGGTGAGATATTCGAAAAATTCATCTATGCCACCGATCAAAATACAAGCACCGTTCGGTCGTTTTGATATGCATTTCCACGTTAATGGATTTCTGTCGATTTTCCATTTTTGTTCGTGACAAAAATTCCGCAACCAATCCTAATAATAAAATCATAGATTAAATCAAAACGCGTTATATTTTCTTAAAATAATATTTACAGGTACCTAATAATTATTACAAAGAGCTACAAGAACTATGTTTCAAGTCCGTTCAGCTTGCTATGTGTGTAGGTATTAAAAACAACTTAAACGAAAATGTTGAAAAAAAAAATGTATCCATCCAAAAATATTCAAATTAATTTACCAGTAGTCTATTCAATAGTTAAAGATAAGTTATCTAACCTAAAAAAAATCATGATGAAATTGATTCGTAAATATGTGTTAATTCAAAATAAAAAAAAATATTGTCGCTAACGGAAAACTATTCTGAGCAGGGTTCGGGTAAAAGTATATTGAAATCGTCAAAATTAAACGTTAAACGCGTTTAAAAAAAACAACTTCACTGTTTTGGTTTGTCAATATTACCTACAACTTATGTTGAACCCGATTAAAATTTCCAGAATTCCTCTTCGGCCAAAACAATTTTATCCGCGTAAAACCAAATAAAAACTAAAAAAAAAACTTCAACACGTTAAATACCCTAAAAATAATTAAACAAATCGACATTAAAACATTTTTAAAACATTAATATCCCTTTAAAAGGTCGTTATTAGTATTTTGTGATTAGTTTAATTGAATTATAACAGGAAAATAAAATTGAAACTAATCGAATCATTAAAGTGCCGTAAAGTTTGCCGTTTTTCCCGGTTCTATTAATTATTTAGGAAATGACAAGGAAAATTAAAACAACCTGCAGCTCATGTATCAATTAGATAGAAATTCCTTTCAGATAAATTGCTACTCTTTAAATTAGGAACAAGATTTCTGATAGAAAAACAAAACCGAGAAACTAACAAATAACGAACCTTTTATTGCTGTACATATTTTGTCCATTTTTCCTATTAGTTTTTCTTAATAAAATTATAATGAAAACTACTCGGAAAATCAAAAAAAAAAAAAAATACCTCTCGAATGCACCAACTAGATCCGAAATGCTATAGAAAAGCTTTCTAGTCGTTTTTTGAATGAAGCAAGATTTTTGGTAGAAAAGGCACGAAAAAAAATTCGTACATAATATAATAAAACCAATAAATTCTTCGCTACGCTCAAAATCTCAAATTTTAGCCCGTAGGTATACCCTTCAAAGTAGTTTTAGAAATAAAATGCTTGTAATTAAATAGATATAGATAAAAGTATTTCCGACGTGCGTATAATTATTATATTGTATTATTTATTTACATTATAGCACATATTCATTATTAAACGTATTTTATTTCTAAAATTGAAATATATAATTTTTGTTTTTACATGTTTTTACCATTGAAAATCATTGATGAGACGTATTTTTAACAATATTACATGTTACTCGAAACAGCTATTTATGTTGAATTGTAACTATTTCGGTAAACAACAAAATGTTTGTAAAATAAAACTATTGGACACTATTTGGTGTCAAAACGAGTAAATTGGTGGAATGTTACGATGATACGACTGATATGAGTTTTATAATAGGTATTATGATTCTCGGGGGTTCGACGTACCGAATCGTAATCCTTTCGAAAGGGTTTTGTTATTTCAAAACTATAATTACATTTTCATCCGTCACCTTACCTATAACACCTATTACCTGGTATTTTTCTTCGGTTTTTACTATGATCTTATACGAGAAATTTGGAAGCGAACGGCTCAATTTTTCCGCGACTAGCTTACCGTGGCCAAAGTTCACGCAACTCGGTACGCCGGCTATGTAATACGTACACGTCATTGTCGAATAGAAAACAAATTGTTACGACAAAATTATAATAACATAACGGAGCAGGTGATATTTGTCTACATCGACGTCACGTGACTATCGTGTTGTTTGTATATTCTCTATAGATACAATATTTTTCCACAGCAATGTAATTCGATTTTTTGCTGTTTATTCATTGTAATAATCATATTAAAATTATTCGTTAGGTATCAACCAAAGTATTGACCTCGTAGTTTCAGGTTTCAAGAACGAGCTAATGTAACATGTCAGTGGTTTGTATTTTATAAAAGCGATGTAGTTATGTAGCGATGCAGATAAAAGCCATATAATATATTCATATAGGTACATGTATTTTTTTTTTGTATCTGCATGTTGTTATATTTCGTCTTTGTTCAATGGTCAATGCCACGTCAATGAAATGTAAATTCTAAAATCGAAGTTAAACATTTAGCGAGTATTTTATAAACACCATTATAATGTTAAATTAACTGCAAATCAGCCTTAGTTCAAAAACCTCATCATACAACTCACTTTTAATAACAATTTGATTTGATCTCAGACTTTTATGATTTACGCAGCAGGTCCCTTTTAATATATAAAATGTAGGTAACTGCTAAGTTTTATTCTTCCGTAACATTTTTTTACGTACGCATTTCCCTGATTGTTGATTTTTATAATAACCTGTACCTGTTCTCTCTAAAGGTTTGTGTTTTTTTTTTCGAATCTGAGTGGAGCGAAGAAGCTTATGGTTTTATAAAGATTTGTATTTTTTATTATTATTATTTTTTTTCTGTGAACAACTTTTCTACCAGAGAACTTGCTCCGATTTGTACGTGTAGCACATTTTCTGAAAGAAAATCGGCGTGGGAAGGTACTATAAGAAGGTAATTTTTCGATTTTCTTAAGAGTTTTCCCGGTAAATGTGAAAAACCAGGAAAAACGCAAGATAAACGAGAGAATCGGTACATTAAACAAATATTATTAAAGATAATATCTATAATGACATTTATATATTTTGTTGACAATGCATCACTATCAACTGAATTCCACACAGAATTGTTTTTACGTTAGCAATGGTTATTCGTTGCTACAGATATATATTAAATTACCTATATAACAGTTGCTGCACCTGTCTCCATTGTCCTAGGACGTCATTTTTTGTCTGTTTCGCGTAAACGTACATGATCTTTTTCACCGTCAACAATCACCGGAGAGACGTTCTCTTAAACACGAATATACTCAACGTATTGGTATTTACGATTATGTGACGTGAATGCACACGGGCTCGGGTTATATTATAGAATATTGTTTATTCATTTAAACACGATTGTTGTTAACAGCGTTAACGATTGACGGTTTTATCTGTGTGGCGGGTTATGATGGCGGACGATTTTGTGTATGATGAATGATCGTGTTATATAACAGGACGGGCCCACAACAGGTGTTTTGTCCCGAATATCACAACCGTAATTAGGCCCCGATATACGAGCTCCACGACGAGCTTATTGTGTGCTCGTCAATAACGGATACGTAATAATAATAATTTTGCGATGATCGTGTAACAATAACAAATTATTGTCTAGCTCTATAATAGGATGAGATCGCAACAGGTGTTGACCGCCATTATGTTAGATCCTCCGAATTTCCGATTAGGCCACCGTCGCCACGTTATTATAGAGTGGCGGTTCGAGCCTTGTTATTTATTTTTTTTTTTTCGTGAAATTAGTAATAACATAATACGATTTTCTACGTTTTTAAGACGTAATAATATATTATCGTAACTATAACTATACAGTGTTTATTGATACAGAGCGTTGTTAAAGCAAGGTATTATAATACAACCGCAGAACCGTTTCGCTATAATAATATATATAGTTAGTAATTGATATAGCCCGATAGCCATTATTTCATTCGCATTTACGCACTAATCGATAGGTACTGTATTATTGATAGGTAAGTATATAAAATTCGAAAATACTTTTTTTTTTTTTAAAAACAATTATCTCATATAGCCTAAAAGTCGTATATACTTGGCAATTCATCTATTCGATCGAGGATAGTTCGGTTTTAAGAAAACGTTTTATAGTAATTATTCATTAGTTTCACCATTTAGATTATAACAATAAAAATCAATAAATTCCCATTGCTATACCAGGTGATCCATTTAAGTAGGTACACTCATTATCTCGGGAAGTATTAAATTTTCCCGGAATTTATTTTCTAGAAAATTTAAGAAACAAGTTTCTTCAAGTTAGGTTGGAGGAGAGCAATGGAGTATCATTTGTGTAGCGGTACGACGCGAGGCAAGTTAATATGGCGAACCACTACTCTTCTCCAACCTAAACTTAAAAGTGGAACATTTCGTCAACGGATCGACAGAAATTAAAAATTTTAACACTCAAATTTATTTTAACTAATACTCCATCTATTTATGGAATTTTTAATATAAGCAAAAAATCAAAAGTAATTATTAGTTTTCCCCGAAAATAAGGGTGGCAAAAAATAACATAGACATAAAATTATAGGGAAAATCGTTTCTTAAATGTTCTAAAAAATAAATTTCGGAAAAATTTAATACTTTTCCAGATAATGAGTGTACCCACTTAAATGGATCGACCGGTATATGTAAAACCGACATCACTACTGATCTTATTAAATTTTACAATTCTAAATCAATTTTCCTTTTTTAGCCAGTTTAATTTGTCTATGAATATTTGATAATTATATACAATTATATTATACACTATACTATAATATGACCATTAAATATCGCGATTATTTTTGCGACACTGCTATACAAGGGTTGGTATATGCATATAGGGTTATGCGTAATGGTTGTATAATATACAAGTGGAAAAAAAGCAGACGCTGCAAAGGCGGAGACATGATTAATAAACAGTTTTTTACTGTTCGCTATAATAGTTTGTGCAAGAGGTGAATATTTTCTAGAAAAAGTGTGAAACGCGTTTGTTTATTTTTCGTTTGTGTAAACATCATATACGGCTTTTATAGCCATCCGCGCAGAATTTTGTTTTATTAAACCTCATTTACTCCGTTGAAAACCGGACATAAGTAAAGTGACACAAAATAGCAAAAGGGTTAACAAATGGCAAACGGGGTAACTTAGATGATCATATACTTTATACATAGTATATTATTACGATCTGTGTACTGTACGCAGGTGCCTACTTTGAGCTTTCCTCGTGTATTATTACACATTTTAGAGATTTAAAAAGCACACAAAAAAAAAACAACAAAAATACTCGCGAGCAGTAGATTTTCGTCATTAGAGTCAAATTAATAAAAATAAATTTACACAATCAAAAATACCTAAAAATCCCTTTGTAATTAACGGAAATGAAACGTTACGTCAAAATTTAAAAATGATCGGTAAAGAGTTTCCGAGAGTCGAATCTAAGCACAAACTAATATAAAATTTCTAAAATGTCTAGGTCAGCCAGTTATTATCGTTTTTGGTGGCTCAAGTGCTCTTTGGAGAACATGTGCTTCGATGAAATATACACGTTGACTGTTCTCAGGATGTATTACAAGGTTTTGGATAAAAGGCTCTCTTTTTTGTATGGAAAAACTAAAAATACGCCAGATAGCCTCGTTGCTGCTGATGTATTTTTATTTTTATTTTGTATTTCAAATACGGCAAAATTACTGCCTTTATTAACGTATTTGGAAATGTACTTCATGGATTTTACGGAACTGCAAAACTTGACATTATTATGAGCTTTATATGTTTTCGAAAGCAATGGTGAGTATGGTATTATTCACTGTATTACTGGTATTACTCACTGGTATTACTCACTACTATTATTCACTGATTGTCAATTTCAACTTAATTTTTAATTTAATTTTCATAACAAAAATACCTAAGAACCTTTCATCCCCCATCGCACCCCCTTCTAGATTATTAATCAAGATGAAGACTATCCTATCTTTTAAGTTGGATCAAATCGCACACATTGAGTATTATCATATTAAAATCGGTTGAGCATTTTCACAGTGCATCGCACCTCAACTCGTCGCACGCATAATTTGTATACATATAAGATATATACGAGTGAATGTATGTATTATACGAGTAGGTATTTACAACAAAATAGTATAATAAACCATTGATGGTGTTTAATTATCACAATATATTATTGTTTCATAACAAAATATGATAATAGTTGTACATTTCTAATATCTATTTGGATTTGGATATTTTTTTTTAACGGCGGAGAATCCTTAGTTCTTACGTCGGATGTCGGATACTTATTTTGGATTATATAACTATGTACCTACATAATACTTAAAAAAAAAATATTTGATATTTGATGGTAAGAGATATTTTAGGATAAAAAACGGAATTATAATATTGTATATGCGGTCACATTTCTAACTTACCTTATTTTATCGTTTCACCGCAGACATCTGTACAAAAGGATCGTACATTTTTTTTTCAATGAAAGTATAGTGATTTTGCTAAAGACGCCAAAGCCGTATCATCGCAAACGCAGAACGATGACATAACGGAGCGAGGTGCGACGAAATGAAAGTACAAATGTTTAAGTCATTTACTTTTATTTCTAGTAATTCATACCGAAGTTTTACCAGTTATAAATATGATCCTTATATCGTACAATATACAAAATGCACATTATTGTATTGTATTAGGTATGTTTTTTTTCCTTTTTGACAAATTTCGGATTTTATACTTATTATTCTTACTTGTCGTAGATTTAATCAATTTTGGTGAACTTAGGGTTTAGATTTTGAGAAAAAAAATTACATGCATCATCTGATCACTGGATAATACAAGTGATTATGTGGCGGCACCAATTTCGTCCGAGGCGTCTATAGGCGGATTACTGGGAAGCCACGTTTGATAAAACGTGATTCATAATAAAAAATCGAACATTATCACTCATCGGTACTTTCTTATTAACCTGTAGACTACCCGTTTAACCCCCGATTTTAATTTTTGTAACCTAGACCAGACGTGGTTTTTAATCGAT